CCACACGTGAGTAATTATTCTGCATGCCTGAAACACAAGAATCAAATCCTGAAAATTCATAGAAAATTTAGGGAACTCCTTCAAGATCCTTTTTAGCGAACAGAAGAAGAATTTCCAAAGCTTCCAGAGAATTCTGAACACCAGCAGAAAAAAAGCAACAGAAAAAAAAAATACAGAATTCCCAAAAATACCTGAGAAAATAAACGTGAAGAAAATACTGGAGCTAGCAATAATAACTAGATAAGCATAAAAATGTTTTTTTCAAGATCATACAAAAATGCAGAAAGCCCAAATTCTGAATATAGTTTTGAAACCTGACGATTTAAAAAAAAAAAAAAAATTTTTATAATTTTTTTCGATGGCTTTCATCATTCCAGCAGCAATAATGTAATATCCTTTCAATATTCGAATGGAACTAAAGAAGTTTTATTAAATGCCTGTGTCGATATTACAGTGGCACTTGATTGACACGTTTTCGCTTTTGCTGCATGAATGCAAAGTTTTGCATTCTTCAGTTTAATCAGAAACCAAAGAGTTAGGGTATAAATTCATAATTGTTGCGGAATGCTTCCGTAAGAAGAATGCCAGCTGCACTGTTAGCTCAATCTAATAAATAAGGCTGAATATGAATATTGTACAGTGATATTATACATGCATCAAGAGAGCAAGAAAGCAAGTTTTTCGTACATATGTGGAAGTATCCAGATAGTTCTTACGGCAGTATAGTCACAAAATAAAAACGATCGTTATAGTAACAGTAGAAGGAAAACAAAACCTCAACCTAAAGAAATTCACATTGAGTCGTGAGGTTCGTAAATATCTGAGGTAATGTAAGAAAAAGCTGTTTATACGAGGGCTATCCAGAAAGTAGATTACGTTTTGGAATAAAAAAATAAACAAAGTATAGGAAACAAATTTTATTATATACAGATGAAAGCCACACTCAAATACTACTTTTCTACATAGTCACCATACAAATTAAGGCATTTATCGTAGCGATGTACGAGCTTGGAAATTCCTTCGTCGAAAAATTCGGTCGCCTGCGCCTTCAACCACTTCGTTACCTCTTCTTGCAGCTGTGCGTCGTCATCAAAACGCTGCATAGCCAGCCACTTCTTCATTGCTGGGAATAGGTGGAAGTCGCTCGGTGCCAGGTCGGGACTGTACGGCGGATGAGGAGGAAACAACTCCCACTTAAAAGATTCAAGAACTTTACGAGTGACATTTGCCGTGTGGGGCCGGGCGTTGTCGTGAATCAACAAGATCTTAGAGCTCAACATTCCTCTGTGCTTGTTTTGAATTGCTCTTCTGAGTTTTTGGAGAGTTTGGCAATACCTTTGAGAGTTTATTGTAGTGCCTCTTTCCAGGAAGTCCACCAAAATTACACCTTTTCTGTCCCAAAAAACAGTCGCCATCATCTTCCTTTGCCGACATTGTTTGCATGCATTTCTTGGGTTTTTGGGGAGAACTTGTGTGCCCCCACTGCATTGATTGCAATTTCGTTTCACAGTTCACATGTTTCACCCATGTTTCGTCACCAGTAACGATGCGATCGAGAGTAAAGAGTCACCATCCTTATGGTAAGCGTCCAAAAAGTTCAACGCTGCAGCCATTCGCTGATTTTTGTGGTCCTCTGTCAAGATTTTTGGAATCCATCTTGCACAAAACTTGTGGTAACCAAGCTTTTCGCTGATGATTTCGTGCAACAAACTTCGCGAAATTTGTGGAAAACTCAAAGAAAGTTCCGTTATTGTGAAATTTCGATTTTCACGGACTTTAGCATCGACTTTTTCGAGAAGTTCGGCGGTCACTATGCTGGGGTCTCCCACTTCGATCTTCGTCGTGAACATTGGTTCGGCCATTTTGAAATCTTATGACCCACTGACGCACTCCACCTTCAGTGATAATGTTGTCCCCATACACTTCACGAAGCTGCCGATAGATTTCTATCGGTTTACAGTTTTTTGCAGTCAGAAACCTTATTACTGAGCGCACCTCGCAGCTTGCGGGATTTTCAATTAACGCAGACATTTCAAACCGTCAAAGTATCTGAACGGAGCACAGCACGAACCTCTCACTAGCACGGCTAGATGCAGACTGAGCTGCGCAACGCTCTGACCCCAAGATGGCCGCGCTAGCCCCGCCCCTAGCGGACACAGACGGAAACGTAATCTACTTCCTGGATGGCCCTCGTATACGTGAGAGTATATGCATATCGTATCTCACTCAAAATCTCACGAACAAACTAACTCCACACATAAAGTTCCTATGGAAGAAAGTGAGAAATCTCCAGCATATGTTAAAATAGATCATATTTTACTGCACTAAAAATTATGAAAGAAAGTTCTCTAACTTTCAATATTGATTATGTAAGCTCTTGCGGCAAAGCAAAAACGGGAATCAGCAACAAATTTTGTGATACTCACGGTCATATAACTATCAGTATTGGTTAGTAATTAGTTACCTAGCTGAGAATTTAAAAATAAATTTCTGTCATATGGTTGGCAACAAGGTAAATTTAGCTATTCTAGTACTTATTTTGAAGGTAAGTTTTGCTAGTTTCAAAAGTTACAATTCTAGTAAAATTTAAAGATTAAAAATTATTGCTGCTTAATAGTCGTTTAGTTTATAAACAGAATATAATGCCATTATATTATGCCATATGTATAAATGCCTCAGGAATGTCCTCAACGATTTATTTTTTTATTTACATAATGTATGAACAAGCGTTTAGATTTCTATAGTTTTAAGATACATATTCCGTCACATTAACCGCATTAATTTGAGATTTTTATGTACACTAATTTCAAGTATTTGGTGAGATGTTTAAGGTTTTGCCAAAAATAAGATGGAATTTGGAACATGGGGTTAGAATCAAAATTCTAGTTCTTCTTTTGTTAAAATGGTTAGCGCAGTTTGTCACTGATATTAGTTAACTTATCGCTCGATTTGTAAGATGCAACGTGCTACTTTAAAGTTACCGTAATTAGTTGCCGAAATTGGTATGTGGTGGCCGCTTTAACAAGGAAACACCAAAATTCTTTTTTTGAGTTATAAATGATGGATAAATATTAATTCTGAAGTAAAAGGCTTAAACTAACTGAAAACAAATCTTTCGAAAAATAAACGTAAGAGAGATATAAGAGACATGTAAAAGAATTTAAAACAAAAAGTGTATAAAGTATGCTACCATGAGTTGTTATAACTTTATTATTATTGGTTCAATTCCGTGAAAAGGATTTTTGTGCTATAATTTAAAAGAAATTCATTAAACTATGAAACTAATGTTAGCGCATACTAATATATCTGAATAAATTTTTAAAAATGTAATGTTAACATTCCGTTTCTGCACCGATTGAAAAGCCAAAAATCTTATTTTAACTGTATCACGTTTTCTATGATCAAATATGTTTAAGGCAGAATTATTGTCATCGAATACTTTTTAATGCAAGCAGTCGCTAAATTTGGCAAGTTTACAAAAAAAGATTGATTCTTATATAAATTTTACTATGCTTTTCATTAAATTTCCCTGAATTGTATCTCTATTTCGGGACTCAAGGAAAGATGTCTTCTTATATTTCTGCTTTGAATTAATTACTTACTAATACAACATACTGTTACGAATATTGTATAATACATAGATAGATAATTTTAGTGCAATTATATGCGTAATTGTTGTATTTTTCTGCGCAATGTAACATGAAGAATCTGGAGAGAAGCTTTGCCGGAAAAGTAAGAACACAGGGCAAATCTATTTGACGATGAGTATACGGGTACCTTGGTAATTTGACGAGATATCACCAAATGGCAATGGTTTTGGCGACTAAATATTGTTACCAAATTTTGAGAGAAATTTCCAAAAGTCGCTAAGCTTGGGGACCATTTGGTGACATTTCGGTCCTGTCCCCTGTACCACCGTAATAGGTACTGTAATTGAATAAATGTAATTGATCACTATATTAGCTGTAATCGTAATTCGACCTTCATATTGCCTTCCAGTAATTTCGAGAAGCAGAAAGTACTAGAAATATCTCAGCGGCCGTGTGAAAGCTAATAAGGCCGGAGAGATATTCTCTCAGTTGTTAGCTCTTAGCTCAGCGTGAGTTCGGAGTCCTGAGATATCTTCGGGTAGCTTTCTCATTAGCTACGCTTTGCATTGCGTTGTATTTAACGTACACAGTAGTTTGAAGTGTAACTACTGATTGTACTTTATGATATTGTGAAGAGTTGGGGAATCTTTGTGGAAAGTTCCAGACCTCTGAAGTGTTTCATTTGATAAAATAAATCTTATCAACCTATCATAGGAGCTGTGTGCATTCAATCTATTACGAACCCGTACGCACGCAACAATATTTAAATTGCTTTCTCGCCTTCTTTACAATTCCTAATTATTTATTATTGTTAGAAGACAATGGAACACTTCTCATTTTAAATTTTTTGACATGAGAACTATAGAAGTTAAACAGAATTAAATTATTATTTCAAAATAATCGTTTATTGACAAGCCAAATACTAAATTATCAGTACGAGATAAAATGTACCCGTTAATGAAATAATGTATGCGAATTTAGCTGTAGGTGTTCCTGAATGGAATCCCACCCCGAAAAAAAAACTGTAAAGTATTTTCCCCTCCTCTCATAATAGCAATATTTTTCTTCTTCTTAAATAAAGAAAGAAAAGAAAAAGAAAATGTTGAACATCTATTTTCCCCTCTCATGTTTGTTATATTTTTCTTCTATTACTTAAAAAAATGATTAAATTCTAATTAGCTGAATTTGGCGAATGGCACAAGGAACTGTAAGAAATATTTAGATACTCAAACATAGTTCTAGTGTCGAATGTTATTTTCTTCTTGCTCTTGAGCCATCATTCTCCATTTTTTAAGCATTCTCTTCAGCCAAAGGAAAGTGGAGAATTCGGACGGCCTCAGCCTTGAAATACCATCCGCTTAAACCAGCGATAACGCACAACACGTGACCTCTGAGACTGGACTGCGAGAGGACACTTCGAAGTCCCATCACGAAATTCTTTCGCAGTTTATTCAAGTTAATCAGAAACAGTCGCTATGTCTGCAGCTCCAGTAGCAATTGTTACTGGTGGAGCCCAAGGTTTAGGAGCAGCTATTGCTGTAACATTGTTGAAAAAGGATTACAAGGTAAGGTAAACTGTACTAATTTTAAGTAAATTGCTTTAATCTAAAATGATTAAAATCAAGTTGAGATGTCAACGACACTTCCGTATCAGTATGAGGCAAGCTGCGTTACCGGTTTGAAAAATGAACAGAAAAATACGGCATTCTTTTTTTACGTAAACACCTCAAATTTATTATTTACTACTCCTATCTATTTACTTACGGATAATCATGAAGTTATAAATGCCTTAACTTAGTCTAAAGTTTCATTTTGATGTAATTATATAATTACGTCGGGAAAATTGGGATTTTTTTTGTCGTGTTATAGAAGAAATTAATGTTTTCACAGTTGAAGCCATTTAACCGTTATAAAAGTGATATTTTCGTGATGTTTAAATAAATTAACATTTGGATCACTTATAAAAATGATACATGGCCATTTTTTAGAAGAAGGAGGGGGAAAATAGTATTTTCATTTAATTTGGTGTGAACGATTTAATTTTGTTTCCGACTTTATAGATAATTTTCAGCTTATATTTAGAAATATCCAAATGCTTTGGCCAATTTAGAATTTTTTAGTCAATGAAAGTTCCTAACTATAAAGTTGTGAAAGTCTCTTACTTGTTCGCAAATTAAACATTAGTTTAGGCCAGAAGTGGCCAAAGTGGCTCGCGAGCCTGATGCGGCTCTCGCAGGCAATTTGTGCGGCTCATGCATATAAAATGTATGTATAAAATATACTAAACTAAAACTATTCAGCGTCCAAAAGGAAGTAATTAATTAGTTTTGACTCCTTTTAAAAAGTTATCAACGATTTCTTTCTATTTAAAATCTCCTTCTCTACTTCTGTAATGATGTAAATATGAACTTGTGGCTTTTAGAAAATCTAGATGAGGCTGTCGAATATTCCAGAATTCAAATGTGTGGCTCTTACTGACATGAAGTTTGGCCAACCCTGGTTTAGAGTAAAAGCGTTATAAACACTAATACCCCTCAGTTCGAGTTAAAGGAAAGAATCTCAGAGAAAATGAACCCAACAGTTGGTTTTCAAAAATCTAAATAAAGGCATCATCGTACAAAGTGGGAAAGAATTTACCACTTTATTACAATCATCATTTCGGACAAGCAAAATTAGCGTACTGTCGATTCCGATAATTTAATTCAGCTGCAGTTGTATCTGATAGTAGAAGAAGACTGTTGTTACTGTAACGTGCGTCCCCATTAGCTATCAGAATAAGATCTAAATAATAAGAATCATTTAAAACTAGCAAAGAAAATGAAAATTAAACTGCTTGAAAGATTTTTGAACAAATGAAAATGTTTCCTACAATTCTTGAATATAAATGAATGCTGATATAGAGCTAGTAGACGGAACAGACTAAATCTAGGCTTGAATTTGAGACTAATTACACCAAAAACTTTTTATTTAACTCATTAGGAAAAGCTTGAGATATCTTATTAATAAGTTTTATTTTTATATTATTTTATCCATATAGGTTTGAGCGTACAACATGCTCGTCCTTTTTACTTCCTTGTACGAAGTGAAAAGGAAGTATTGTAATCGCGAAAAGTTTCAGGCAGCATATTTCAACGAAAATATCCATTTTGACCGCTATCGAATGCAATTTAACGATGTTTTTGCGTGATATCTGTACGTAAGGACAGAATAAAAGACTCGTTTCCTCCAAAAAATTATAAAACTGCTTTAAAATTAATTCTGAAGAGAATTTTTCGTTGCGTCTGTACGAACGTACGTATCTCACATAACTCAAAAACGAGTAGCCTCAGAACGTTGAAATTTTGTATATCGGACTGCTATCTGCGATTCCAGCGCTCTGATTACGCCATTAAGTGGCTAAAAGGTGGAAACATTAAAAATCAGTATTTACGTTTGACAATACTACGTAGTTTGTGAAGCGTGTTGTGATCGAAAAGTAGTTAAAAGTTTATTTTTTATTGTTGTGGGCATTATGTGTTCAGTCGTTTTAACCACTTGTAGGACAAATCTAAAGAAAATGCTTGTAATATTTAATCAAAAGTTAACTAAATGTTATATGCCAGGAATTGCTTTCTCAAGTACTGAGGGGTAGGTAATACTTAATCTGCTCTTTTTTTTTTTTTTTTTTTTTTTTTTTTTTTTTTGAAATGTTTGGTCATGATGGTTTATTCATTGCATGTATTTTCTATAATACATATAGAATACTAATATTTCTATTACAAGTGTCTTTTTTCATTTTTAAGTGCTTTGCTTGTTGATATTCTCAAAATTGCATCTGATAATTAGTGCTATTATGTATATAATAGATATAAATACAATAGACGAATATAATAGATCAATATATATTTGGTATATAATGATTCAATATCATTTTTATGGAAAAAAAGACACTTTTCACTGCACAGATTTTCTGCAAATCTCAAGTTAAACATATATGAAATCATTTGTTTACAATCAGTAAACAATAAAATCATCTCCCTGTTCGTAATACAATGAAACAGCGACACACTGCTTAGAACAAACCAGCCAGCAATTCCTCTTTTACATGAACAAGAAAATTTTTTAAAAAAATTTTACATCTCCTTTTTAACAATGAAATGTCCTTCGATTCCATGCGATCAGGACGCTATACAACTTATCCTTAAATAGGAAGCCAAAATTTGTAAATTGGATTTTTCAAGTAAAATTCCGTGCATTACCAAATAATCCGCTTTTTAAAATTCTCTCTGCTTCAGTAACACAGCGAGAATTTACGCCTCTTTGAACAAAATCAAACATTTCGGAAAAGCTAAGCAACTCCATTTTTGAATGTACGAAGTCATATCACAAATCAAAATACCGGTTTTTATCCGCCACATTAATATGTGAAAGCGCCACCTATAGGTGAACTGAATCGCGGATAACATGTAGATGTGCACCTCGTATTTTGGTTGCAATCGGCCGCCCCAAACGTATATAAATATATTTATATATATATCCACTCTGTTACCCGGCTGAGTGATCTCACTTTCTTTACTCTTATATGTTTGTAAATTGTACATTTTTTGCTTTAAAAATGATTGAATTATGTTGTTTTTATCTTCTGGTTAAAGTTTTTATGCCTTTAGTAAATCTGTATGCGATATTTTTAGAATTATCAACAATTTTAAAGTTGTTTAAGTGCCGCTAAGCCTAATAATTTTTTTGATGGCGGCCATTGCTTGTTTACATTTGAAACAGCAAAGTAATGGATTTGTTGCCAATCTAGAGAAACGTAGCTTCGCAACAACAAAGATAACGCCTTCATTTATTATTTGCCATTAAAATCATGCTTAATCCTTTCTGGAATTTTTTCGAGGAAATAAGTGTTTAAGATTTACTTCGTAATTTTTAATACAGATAGTTTGAGTTTTATGTATTTTTGCCTTCTCGCGAAGTGAGAACTGACTTAATTGAATGAAAAATACTCAATCGTCTGTGAAAAACTGTTTCTTTTCTGTTTCGTTTGCTTAATTTCTTTTATACATCATTCTAGCTTTATTATAGTATTTGAATAGAACATGTGGCAACGATTAGATAATTCTATTCTCTAAATGATATAAATTTTGTGCATTATGAGTTATAATATGAACGAAATATAATACTGTTAAGTGAATCTAGCGCCAGAGTGTCGCTATGGTAAACAAATACTAGAGCGAATTTTAAAGAATGCATTTATTCTATTGTGGTTTATGCGCTGTCGGCGAAGTAGATTTAATTCAATCCAACAAGTTTAAATGAAATGCAAGAAAAAATGCGTATAATTTAATATTCCGTACAAGAAAGTTTTGTGGTGTAGTATACATCAGATTTTTTTTTTTTACTTAAATCTAGCCAAAGGTAATGAATTTTTCTTTTGGCATGTGACAATTTTACGTAAAAGTCTAGTAACAAAGACAGTTTGGCGTTATAAAATTTTAAAATATCTGACTAAATTACATTAAAAATTCATAAAATCGATAGGGTTTTATTAATTTATTTTATAATTTTTGCGCATCATCTTACCTAGAAATTTTAAATTTGTAAATTTACTGTTTGTAATGCTAAGTCCTTTCAGTTAAATTACAGTACTTAAAACTCACATGAGTAATTTCGAAATAATTTTAAAAAGTTAAAACACTGACTGATTACACAGATCCGCAGGCAGTTCGTTTCAGGACATACCGCGGATCATACCGAACGCTATGTAGAACAGATTATACATGTATAAAATATACATTAATAAATAATTGTATAATAGTGTACTGTATATAATATACATTAATAAATAATTATATAAAACACTGCATATAATATACATTAATAACTAATTATATAATATCTTATTAATCTTTCAAAATTTTTGCGCTTTCACTAGTGCATAAGAAAAGACATCACAGCTTCTGCCAAATTTAGAAGCTATGGCAACAATCATTATTTTTATGCTTGGGAGCTATTGTAACACTAATAAAAAATTTCTGAGCACGAGAGTTGTAGTAGAATGTCACTAATGAGAACAGGAAGATTGTTAAAGTTGAGAGAAATTTAACGGGAACATTTGTGGACTTGGTAACCTGAGACCGTATATATGGTTTCGAAGATGGCCGTTTTCACCTTCCTTCCATTCTTTTGAATCCGTTAGGAAAGTGTACGCACACGTGCCTGTAGTCGTCATTACACAGGATGTTTGTTTTTAAACTGACTCTACTCAGAGTCATTTGTAGCTCGATTTATCAGCTAGAATGCCAATAAATCTGGTACGGAGACTAATGACGATATGGGAAAAAAATATCGTGGAAAAAGATAATTCCGAAAGTTGCAGATAGTGGAAAATGATTTAGTGTGCACAACTGAAAATCAGATAAATGAATAACAAAGAAGAAATTTTAGTGCAACACTACTTTAATGCAGCAAATGAATTGCCACAAAGGATTACAGAGATGGTATTTCAGTGCACTATAGTACTTTCTCCAATAAGAGCACTTCGTTGACAAAGGCACAGACCTCTTTCAATGTACATTATCGACGGATGAACGTAACATATCACATATCACCAGGGATACTCAGCCATCCCGTGATATGTTGTCCTTTAAAATAATGAAGATCGGAATTCCATGAAGACAGATCTTGGACTTTAAATAACCCCAAAGGAAAAACTCACATGGGGTTAGATCTGGGGAACTAGGCGGCCATGCAAGAGGAAAAAAGCGAGTTGTGACCTTTTCTTCTGTAAAGTAATGGCGCTGCAATCGACGTACCGATTAAAAATTGTGCAGTAGTATTGCATCCTGCATATAAGTTACCTGATGTAGTGGTACAGGTCTGTGGCATTGTTTAAGTAATACTCTCAAAAAAGAATAGTCCGATGACGAAATCTGCTGTGAAGCCATGCCTAACAATGGCTTTTGGTGAATGCATTGGGATTTCCTGAACTGCATGGGGTTGTACGGATACCCAAATTCAAGAATTGTGAGTATTAACAGTCCCATTTAGGTGAAAGTGGCCTTATCTCCTCACAGAATTCTTCTCGGCCAAGCATCTTCGACCCCCATCCTGGCAAAAAATGACAGAACAAATGTTATAATCATAATTGTTTAATTCCTGTAAGTGACAAATCTTCTGCGGGTAGAAGTGGAGAACTTTCCGCAAGATTTTCTATACTGTCGAAAGGCTTTAATCAAATTGTAGCGCTGATGGCCTGGGATTGCTATAACTAGCAATAGCTCCTTGGATGCCTTCACCGATTGCAGTCGCGACATCAGTAACTGTCTGTTTTGACTCTTTCCACCCTCTATCAGACTGAATTGCTAAGGATCCTGGTTCCCAAACTTCTGAATCATGCCTTTCAGTACATTAATTGATAGAAGGTCTTTACGTAGGTTTTTACGACTTCTAAACTCACGAAGAATGACAGCTGCCATTGATGAAGATAAAAAAAAATGTCACAAGTAACGAGCGCTGAGGTAAAGTGAGACACATATTGAACCCATCTAACATTTGGAATGTCGTTCCGGGTTTATTCTTTTATCTTTATTGACTGAATTACGGACGCTGCTGCCGTTTATCTAACTGAGCACTTGCATTTTGAAATTTTACCTGCGTTTCATGCAAATTTTCAGTTGCATAGACTAGAACAGTGCCCCATTTTCCACTATCGGCAACTTTCAGAACTATTTTCTTTTCAAAAACTCTTTTCTCGTGTCGTCATTAGTTCTCCTACCAAATTTTGTAGCATTCCAGCTGATAGATCGAGCTGCAGATGGCTTGACATACATTTTTAAACTTCAAAAGATGCTTTTCTTCCCATTGTGAATTGCGAATAATTAAAACCGCAGATGCTCAGTCAACGGATATGGGTCTATCACTGTACTCTATGGCAGTCTGCTAAAATTCTCTATTTAGGAAAAGAGGCATGTCATCTTTTGTGAAAAATTTATTATATTTTTTTTATTTTTTTAGGTATGCGTGGCAGATATTAAAGAAGTCGAGGGTAAGGGCTTTGTAGATGAACAGCAGAAGATTTTTGGAACAGGAAAAATAATATTCTCTGTTTGTGACGTCGCAAAGGAAGCTGATTACACACGTAAGTTACGTTATCAGCGAAATATAATTTATCGAAAGCACGCAACTGAAATTTAAATGTAAATATAGTAATAAAAGTACTTAAGATAATTACTTGACTAATATCAAAATTTTTATATCATTCATGACTGTTCTTTCTGACTGAAAAAAAATTACAGAGAACATTCCAGCGTGCATTAAGTTAGATCATACAGATCTGAAAACATGATTTGCCAGTAATGTCAACAGCAAAGTGAGAAAGCTATTAAAGCAAGACGCATTTCTTGAGTTTTAATGTCTCTACATATAGTGCGGTATTAAACTGGACTGAAGCTTCAAGCATAGCACTTTTTTCGCTTTTTAAAGGTCTTCAAAGTCTGCTTTAAAAAAAAAATTGTGCAGGAAGAGCAAATAGATCTGGAGACTCCTAAAACAAGAAGTTTTAAGACTGAGCTTTGTTGACATTGGCGGTAATTAATTACTTGTATAGGGACAGCAAATGCAATAATACTCACCACTTACATAATATCCGCCCATCTAATCGAAATGAAACTTCAGATGTTGTTATTTGAAGGTATGCTCTCATTATTGTGATGATTTAAATGAATAGAGCTCTAACAGTTACGCTACAACAAACAATTTTTGAAAATTTCGAATAACAACACCCACTTCTTTTCCTGCGTGAATTGATCAGCGCATTGAGAAACCATGAATGGCGTTTGGAACGATACTTGCATAATGCAAATTGCGGGCGTAAAACATTTGCAAAGAAGAGCAATTTAAAAGACCGATGACAATGCAAGAGAAGAGGGGGGGGGAATTTTATTGGAATTATAAGTTTTCAACGGGCGCACCGTAGAAGACGATAACGCATTGAGTGCGGGAGATTGTTGACAACAATGACGAACTTAACATCGCAAGAGGATTCTTGTTCTTATAACTTCAAGTTTTGTGGCATCTTTTTATTCTGACAAATTTTGTGGATCTGACGTGTGCGCGTTAGATTTCAGGTAACCCTTAAACCAGAAATCAATCAGAGTGAGGTCGGAGTTTGTGATGGCCAAAAAACTTCAATGTTATGGGAGATGAGTCTATCTTAAAACGTTGTACGCACTGATAACTTGTAATTCTAATAAAAACATTTTCCTCTCTCTTCTCTGTTGTGTCCTCACTGGTTCTTTGCAATGCTCTTTTTTGAAAATAGTTTACGCCGGCATTTTTCTTCATACTTATATCGTTCCAATGCCATTTATGGATTTTCAATGCGCTGATCAATTTTCGCAGGAAAAGTGGGTATTGCCATTTGAAAATTTCGGAAATTTTTCATTGCTGCCGTATCCGTAGAAGCTATGTTGTTTAGAATGATCACACTCTCGAGCTCATACTTTCAAATAACAATACCTGGAATTTCATTTCGTTTGGTTGAGCGGATAGACCACTAAGGTTCATATATCGGGGAAGTTTTCTTATGCCCACTCTGTATGTCTGACTCTTGCAGTTGTGACGATGTGCGCAAAAGATCTGGGGTTACAAAAATATCTGAAAGGTTTCAACTCCCATCCAAAATGGTTTATTAAGATTTTTTACCCAATTAATAGTAATTTAACGCAAATAATATAATAAATTATAGTAATAAATATATATAATATAATAACTAATATCCCATTCGAGAGTAACGTCACTATTGGGCTAAAAACCGTTAGCATCATTGATTTTTTCTTCAGGTTGAAAAATTCTTCATTAGAGATGACATAAATCTATGATGCCTATGTTTGTAGCTATCATTTTTATTATTAGTCCAAAGGGGCAATTTGCCCTGAAGGACTATTATTTTCGTTTTGGCATTTTGCCTTGATTCACTATAAATGTCCGATTCACTTTTCAAATTGTTGCCACCAAATATTATCGCCTTGCATTATGTTTAAAGAAATTAAATAATAAAGAATCTGCATAAACGTATGTAGGTTTCTCGCATTGTGATAAAACAACGATACCTATAGAGCCATCCAGTTTTGAATAACGTAGTCTGTCCACCCGAATATTAGACATCTGGAAGCCCGAATTTTAAATTTTGGAATTCGTTTTATTATCTATTTCATATTTTGTAAAATTTTAACGAATTTTTGATTAACAAACTCAACGATTTAACAGCGAGCAATGGCAACACTCTACGGGGGGGGGGACTTTTTATCTCCAGCGCGCGGAGCTGTGTATTGGAAATTCTAAAGATAGGCTCATTTTAAAACAATTTTGCGATATTGCTGTTGAACTGAATTTTATGGTTTAAGTGCGAAGAACATGATATTCAATAAATAAAGTTGACACACAAAACGTTAAAAAAACGCCCATTTGGACGTAATTTAAAATCTGGAACCTTTCAATTTTTTTTTTTTTTTAAATTCTTTTTTGCGCTCTTTACTTTTTATGAGGAAGACTATATATTTTGGAATTATATGTGATTGATCTCTCTATGAATATTTTTAACTGCAGTCCCCCCTTCTTTGAAGAACATTGCGGAGGAGACAATATTGATTCCCGTGCCGAAATTGCTAAAATATTTGATCGGCCATCCGCTCAGTATTTGCAACCATAAGACTGAAGGTATACGGACTAACTGCACTGGACTGAAAAATTTGTTACTTTCCTTATGGGACTCACAGATCTTTTGATAAAGCATGTAAAGCAGGGATTTCCTAACCAAGGGATAATTTTTCCGGAGGGGAGAATTTCATAGTTTCAAGGCGAAAATGCTATCAGCCTTTTATTTACCTATTAAGTATTTAGTTTTAGTTTATGAACATAAAAAAACTATGTTTACTAGTTTTGCTAGTTGTCAACATTCTACATATTTTTCATTTTTAATTAATCAAATACATTAAAAATAATCTAAATTTAAATAAATGTATATTTATTGTTCAAGTTTTGAGAAGGAAAGGGGGATGATCGTCTAGCAATGGTGAAAGGGTGCACGGGGCAAAAAAGGTTGAGAACCACTAATGTAAAGTAAAACAATAATAGAGTAAGGTAGGAAATATACAAGATTTTTTATACAGGTGAAAAAAAAAACACGATATAATCTGTTCTTGCTCCTGTTTTACAAATATATAGACCTTATGATAATTTTTATATGCTCTTAAATACCTACTGTTTCTCTCATATAATATGGTTAATTATTTAGCATCACTATGCCCTCGTTTTCAATAATACTTTTCATAATTTCCTAAGATGCAACCACATGCACTGCACTGCACTGTAAAACAAATCTTTCGGTGGAATTTTTGTTGCAAATCCTGGTAGTTGCTTTGCTCAAATGGCTGAAAGTAGTGGACATTTGCAATGGATGACGAAGTGGAAATCTTTTGTTATTGAGCATTTGATATGTAGTATTAGAATATACTTATAAACTGAAATATACTTTATACACAGAAGTAAAAAGATTTTAAGACATTAAAAAATCCTTCTCAGAAGTACACACAAAGTTTTAAGACATTTTAGATGGAATATTTACTTCTGATACATCTGTATTGCAATAAAAGTATGAAAAATTGAAAAATAGGTTCTTATTAATAATTTAGGTTACCCATTAATATCTCTTATTTTTCAACATTTTTATGGATATCATAATATGTGTCATCAGCTGAGTCCCTGTACATTCCGTGTAAGAAGTTTGTAATATCATTTAGAATTGAACATTCAAGACCGAAAATATTACATATTTTTTATAATTCGAAAAAATACTCGTCATCATCAGCTGAGTCTATGTACATTCCATGTAAGAAATCTGGAATATCATTTAGAACTGAAAATTCAAGACCAAAAATATTACTTTTTTTTTTTAATATTCAATACTGAAAGCAAGTGACGATACCTATCCATTACTGATAATAAAAATTTATTACTGACTAAAAGTTATATTGTCCGCTATTGAGGAAGCTTGTAGCTTTAAAACTGTTCGTTGACTTGAGAGTTTTTTCCGAATAAGAATTTGTATTACATCTCTCAACTGGATTAAATTACTTGTATTTGAATTTAAGTGTATCATATTAAATCCTATTTTGTTTCGTTAGTGTAATAGTTTATATAAAACCATGAGTATATATAACAAATAAATGCAGCAATAAAATATTCTGAGTCTCGGGTCAGCCATAAAATATTTTGAGTATTATTCAGAGTCTCGGTTCTAAAATGACTGAATTTTTAGTAGTTATCTGCGTACAGCTTTATTTCAAATACTTTAAGATTGGTATAAGATTGGATAAATTCCATATTAATTCTACTTGTGCAGAACCAAGCTGTAATATTTTGTAAATTTTTAATGATAAAGCGAATTAAATCAAACTCTTATTTTTCACCATCGCAGAATTGGCTTTGATCATACGATAGTACTTTCCGTTCCCCGGCACACTCCCTCTTTTCGCAGTGCGAAAAACATAGGGCGATTTTAAGTGAGAGTATAAAAGCGGTTGTTTTTTTTTTCAAGCACCGTCATTATTCTTTCAGTGCATATCTTTAATTCTTTATTCATATTTTGTGTGTTTATATAGCCTTGCCATTTGTGATTGAGCTTAGTTTCGCAAATGATGGATTTTATATTCGATTGAGATCCTTGAGTTTAATTAAACAATCCAAGCAATTTTTGGCTTCAAGAGGTCTCATTTCTTTACCCTTCTGCTCCGTTAAAAAGACATCAGCTCCAGTCTTAATTACATGATGTATCTTTAATGATTTCATTTTCACTGAGGTGCACACGCCGTAGTCCGCGCAATATTCGCGTCTAGTTCATGTGTCGTCATTAGTGACTTAAAGTAATATACGAATGAGCTGAAGGAAGACATCAGCAGCAGCATTATCTAGCTTCACATTATGAAAAAATGGCTTGTATGTCAAAAGAGAAAGCGCCCTCCAGGGCCTAGCATCTTAAAGTGCGTTCTCTGATGAAAAGTGTTTATTTTGAGCGACATGTTAAAGTTTGTCCTATTAATTTTGAAATACCTAATAGTTATAGTATTCATGTACTGACACTTCTTTAATGACTTTAATGCATTTCCAATCAGCTTACTTTTAGTAGTGTTATGAGATGAACAAAGTAATCAAAAAGCGCGTTTCGCAGATAACGTCTCAACTTTTACCTTAAATTATCAATTTTTTAATTTCAGGCACTTTTGAACTGACATTGGAAACGTTCAAAAAAGTAGACCTTTTAGTGAACAATGCTGGCATCATTTTCGAACAGGATCCTAAAACTACTATTGATGTCAATTTGGTAAGTTAAACCGTATTTTGGCTTTCAGCACCTTTAATAATTTTATTTAAATTAACCGAGAATTGGAAAAATAATAAAGTTATAAGTAAGAATACGTTGTATAAAAATTAGAAATTCATACATCTTCTCATTTAAGAAAATTAAAAAACAAGAGTAATCAAAAGTTGTGTTTTGAATGATTATTTATTTCGAAAACTGATATTTCCTTATCGAAGATGTTATTTCGTTTACTGTTTTTACTTTGAGGCAATGAAGGCTATTAAAGTGCATCTTGTATTTAATGCTGGGAATAGAAAGAACTGATTGCGAAGGAGACAATTTTTCTTAAATAATTCTGAATATAGCAAATTTTCTTTAAAAAATCCTCCAAGACGGCATTCGCTGTCAGATAAAATGTCAGAAAAGATGTGAAATAAATAATAAGTGACTCAATACGCAATAAAGAATAAGTGAATCGGACTGCTTTAAAAAAAAATTAAATAATTGAATAACATTTGGAAAAAGAAAGGTACACTGCGCAAAAAAGAACAAAAAAGGGGGGGGGATAGTTCTATATCCCCGTTCTACTGGGCCAATTGATGAAATTCAAATTGCGTTTTTCGTCAAATTGCGTTTACACGTCTCGAAAGCACGACTTAGAATATATATTAGATTTATATAGAGCATTGTTCAAATATATGTATTTTGACCCAAAATCGGACTTTTCCTGAAATGACATGCCAATTTTTTTCCATATTTCGATTCTACGACTGAAATTATGCCAAATTTCCAAGTTTTGTAAAAATCGCACTAGTAGTTTTTTAAAAAATTCTCAAAACTTTATCTCCTCAATGTGAATTCAATTTGGTATGTATATGTATTTATTAATATCTTTTTTTTTACGAAACTTGCTTGATTCCTTCTTACACATTTCGAAATTTAGGTTCATTCCAAATAAAATTCATCCATTTTTGAGGATTTATTTTTAAAATTTATATTTCTAAATAATTTTTATAACTTTTTCGTAAAAAATTTTGAATTATAATCTATAAAACTTTTACAATCATCTTAAAGTAGATGTATTTCTAAGCATACCTGCAAAAATTAGAGCTTTTTATTCAAAACTTCCGAAGATATACGTGAATTTATATATTGGCGCATTTTGAAATTTGGCATATTTGTTGAAAGCGATAATAGCGAAAATGTGCTTTACGCACTTTGCTAAAATTATCTGAAAGTAGGAACGAAGTGCCTTTTTTTTTTTTTTTTTTTTTTTTTTTCTGCTCCTGCGCAATGGAAGGAAAAGGAAAATAGGTTGCCATATATATTAAGAAGTTCTCCAAGTGAATTAATTCTTGGCTCAAACTCAAAAAAATTTGTATTTTCTCCGTAAACTTCACACCAAATTTTACAAATTTTTTTAATATTTAGGCATAATTTGAGTCAAAGAATTGAAATATGTAAAAACATCGGTATGTTATTTCAGAAAAAGTCCTATTTTGTGTCAAAATACCTATATTAGAACAAAGCCATTTATAAATCTAATATACATCCTAAGTCACGCTTTCGAGACATGGAAAACGCAATTTAAATTTCGTCAATCGGCCAGTAAAATGGGAGATATAGAACTGTCTCCCATTTTTTTTTCGCAGTTTAACTTTATATTGCATGCAGTTCGACACTTAACTAAAAAACACACGATTAGTAAAACAAAAACAAGATATTTAAGAATTTTTCAGAATTTAGATGTCGACAGTTAAAATCTTATGTCTTCGATTTTCCGGTATTTGAGGATATTGACAAATTTCAGTTGTTCTAAATGGGGTGTCAGGCAGGTTGATAGAAATAAAATGGCACAAAATTATTAAAACAGATGTTAACGTACTTTGAAATATCGCATAAATTACACTAGGAAGTTCTGTATAGCATCTTGCTTTCGATTTCTCTTGTAATCTGCTTATATGCAGTTCTGTACTTTACAATTTTAAACCATCGTAAATAATAATCGAAAGCAGCCAGTTTATTCAGTCTTTTTTAAGGGGGAGGGGGTGATCTGAATGGATTCAACAAATCGGATTGATTTCTGTTTGACCTAAAGTTTTCTGAGACTTTCTTGAAGTATGTGAAGAAGCGAGCAAATGATCTTACATATTTCTTTTTTAAAGTATCTGGAAGAAGATTTTGTAATCAATATTTTTATCAGCAAACTAATTTAAAAATTTACTAAAGCTAGGAAAATAGAACTCTTCTTTTATCGGGATCGGATTCAGAAATGTCACACATATATACGTTTGTGCACTGCGCAAAAAGAAAGGAGTGACAGTGTTATATCTCCCGTTCTATTTGGACGAAATTCAAATTGCGTTTTTCATGTCTCGAAAGTTCGACTAAGTATATATATTAGATTTATATATATAGCGTTATTCTAACTCAAGTATTTTGACACAAAATCGGACATTTTCTGAAATGACATGCCAACTTTTTTTTTTTTCATATTTCGATTCTATGACTCAAATTATGCCAAACTGGCAAGTTTTGTAGAAATCGCATGAGTAGTTCCTAAAAAAATTAGCTCTCAAGATTTATCTCCTCAATGTTAATTGAATTTAATATATAGTTGCTAATATCTCTTCTTTTATAAACTCATTTTATTCTTCATTTCACATTTCAAAATTTAGTTTGATTCCAAATAAAATTCGCCCATTTTTTATGATTTATTTTTAAAATTTGTAATTTAAAATAATTTTTATAAATTTTTCGAAAAAAATTTTGAATTATAACCTATAAAATTTTAAACTTCATCTTAAAGCAGATGTATTTCTAGACACAACTGCAAAAGTTAGAGTTTTTTTATTCAAAATTTTCTAAAATATACATGAATTTACATATTGACGCGTTTTGAAATCCGGCATATATGTTATAAGCGATAATAACGCCAAATGTGGTTTCACGGACTTAAAATACTTTATTTTACTTTTTTTTTCTCATACTTTAAAATTATTTGAAAGTATGAGAGATGACTTTTTGTCCCGCTCATCTGCAATGAAGAAAAGGAAAAGAGTTGCTATAAATTTAGAAGTTCACCAAGTGAATTATTCTTGGCGAAAACTGAAAAAAAATGCTTTAAGTTAAATTTTTGAGTGTGTGTGTGATTATGTCAAAGCCTCGAGGGCTATCTGCCTAATGGGAGGGATGCCTTCGTGGAGGACTTTCTAAGGGAAACTGGCTCGTATACACGTTGCACATGGGGAAAACCACGAAAACTCCCATGCAGCCAGCCGGTTCGCGGGATTCGAACCTCGGACCGAACTACCAGTGATCAGCGACTTTACCGCTCGGCCTCTGGTGGGCCCAGTTAAATTTTTGAATTTCTCTTTAAAGTTCGCACCAAATTTTACAAACTTTAGTATTTAGGAATAATTTAAATCGTAAAATCGAAATATAAAAAACAAAATTGGCGTGTCATTTCAGAAAATGTCCGATTTTGTGTCAAAATACCTATATTAATCTAATATATATCATAATTCGCGCTTTCGAGACATGAAAGCGCAATTTTAATTTCGTCGAGTAGAACGGGAGAAGAACTGTCACTTTTTTTTCCGCCGTGTACACTTGCAGATATACGTACGTATGCGTACATATATATATATACATACATACGAATATACGCACATACGTACATACGCATGTGCATACATACACACATTTCTGAATTCGGTCTCGATAATAGAAGAATACCATGAAAAGTAGTGAGGTAGTTATGCGAAATTCCTTTCATTTATATTTTCGGATATGCTGATGAAAATGCTTTGGAAACACCATATTTGCTTCCTCATCAATCTCTTTTATGTTAATTTAACACCATTCTGTGTGTTGTGTTCATTTCAAAAAGCCTTCCAGCATTGCAATTTAATTCTCATGATCATGTCTTCTCTTCGAATAGTGTAAAGACTTCACTGAGTTTATAAAACCTTTACTATGTCCATTGCACACCAACCGTTTTACTATATATTTCGTGCCTGCCTGTGTCGAATGAATAAAACTGATGAATTTTTATCATTCGACCACCTATGAAAGTCGCCGAACGAGCTGGTATTTTCGTGTTTCTCCCATATGTGTTGAGAATACGAATCAGTTTCTTAGGAACTGAGAAGTGTACTAGTCTAGACAAACAGCTTTTGCATGTTTTGCCATAGTCCTTAAATAAATAAAAAACATAATTGTAGGTTTCCAAGGAAAGGAATTTGGGACTTTAGGAAACAAAAGCTGCCGTTTTTGCTAGCTACAGACACATTGAAAATTCTGTTAATACCACCGTTGCTTTTAATAAAATAATTTTCCTTTATGAATGTACATTTTTTATGCAATTGACAAAAGTCTACTCTAAAAGGGTATGTATCTGTAAACTAAGATCGTCAACTGGGCAACTTCTTGAAAGTTTTAGAAATTTCTTCTAAACAGCTTGATATAATCCTAGAATCTTAGAACTTAGTTTTTAATCATTCCTTGCATAATTTTGTTGCTTAATATGTTAAGATTTAAGTATCTGTTTACAGAAAGTCATATGATATCTGTTGACATTATAAATAGCTCTCTGACAAGTAGTTCAGAAAAATAAGTATTAAATTATTCAGCCTAGTTTTTAAAAAAGTTTTATGTTCATAAATTAATTGTCACAGGCTTTTAATTAGTTGTTTTAGTTCAAAATGTTGCAAAGATACGCATTTCAGAAATATAATAGATTTGCTTTAATGATTTCCTTGTATTGTTTCTAGATGGGCCCAATCATAGGATGTCAGATGGCTATTAAATATATGGGAAGAAGCAATGGTGGAGATGGTGGTATAGTTATCAACACAGCTTCCATTTTAGGTATTTTGTATAGCCTTTATAAAATATGTATGTCAAATAAAAAAAAATAAGTGACTTGCATAAACTTTCTTCAGATGAAAAAAATTTATTTATGTGATCAGTTTAATTTTAAACTAAAAGGAATGCATAATATATAGTTGTTAATGTTTCTGGTATTCTGTATTAATTTTAGAACGCTATATTTTAATAAACAGGTTTTCTGCCTTTTTCGAAATTGCCGGCTTATTGTGCATCGAAACATGGTGTGATTGGTCTGACTAGATGTTATGGAGTAAGTAAATTTCATTTAAAAAATACTTCCTTAAATGATTGCATTATGAATTGAAGAAATTGTGAATGGCTATTAAAATGTGATGATGTCTTGTTTCAGTGAGTCATGTAACTATATTAAATTAAGTTTGGCTTTTGAAATTATTTCTCAATTTTTATTCACATACTATATGAAAGAGATAAATAAAATTTTGAATTTAAGTAATTGGATGTAATTCTCAAGCATTTTTGGGCTTTAATTTCACACATTTGAAATGGAAATAATATTTAACATTATATTAAGATATACGACTATAGTATAATTAATATTGTCTGCAATTTCTTTAACTATATATATTTGGAACAGTTTATTCTGCTACTTCGCTTTCTTATTCATAACACTCACATGTGGTTCTCAGAATTCAAAGCTGTAAACGGCAGTATTTTTTCAGCTATTGATTTCCGTTTTGCCCATGTTCTGTCACTCTCAGAACTCTCTTGAAACGTTAATACTGAGATGTATCTCTTTTCACACGAATGATGAATTGATTTCATTTTCATGGAGAAGCTTATTTCTTATCGACAATGTGCATAAACTTGTGTGAGGTGTTTTCAATAAAGTGTACGCATCTTTTGGATGAATAGTTATCGACTTTCGTTCCACTTTACGAAAAATGAAATAAAGCTTACAATACCTTTCAATAAGAAATATATGAAGCTTAAGTTTTATAGAGACTTGCTGGATAAATGTTAATAAGAAAAACGTTTAAATTAGCAAAATTAGTCAAAAATAAATAAATTGATTAATCAAAAATCCCTAACCGTTTTACAGTCAAAATTAGTCGAGGTATCATTGATTAAAATTTTTGGCATTATACATATTAAATATTGCTACAGTTAGTTAGGCACTTTAAGTTTTCGCAGCGAATTTCTAAAAGATGACTTTTATTATACTTTCGAAACATATTTTAAGAGCATTGGTTTCAAATTTTTCTTTTCTAAATGCTATTAATTAAGATTTTCATGAAGTATTCATTTTTTGTGTTAAATTTAAAGCGACGATACACGATGTTCTTTTCTTCGAGTGAAAGGGATTTTTAAGTCATATTTAAAAAAAAAAATTTTATTAAAGAAACACAATAAGTTCCCCGTGTACCACATAGTATCATATGGGGCTTACAGAAGTAAGTATGAAACACAATACAAAGTAAACAGAAGAAAAAACTAAAATAAAATTAAGGATGATTACAAAGTTTCACGATAAATTGACAAAAAGTGTTAAAAGCACTTCTCTCGGAAATAAATTGGTAAAATTCTGGAGGCCCAGTTAATATTAAAGTTTTCAGTTCCAGTTTCAAGACTTTTCTTTCGTTCTTATATTTAAGACATAGAAGAAGCACATGTTAAACATTCCCTCTCCATCGAGGCTACAATCACAGACAGACTCGGAGCTCAAATTTATTCAAATAACTTTTGAAATTTCCATGGCCAGTAAGAAATTGGGTTAATTTATAGTTTGTGAAGAAGTGATGACATGACAATCTCATCTTGATAAAAGGGAAAAATCTCTTTGTTAAGCTCCCTTTATTTGAATTAATGAATTCGTGGTTCCACGACTCCACAATACTTTCATACATGACCTTCTTATAAAAGGAATTAGGGATATTGACAAAAGTGTCAATTTACCGCTTAGTAGCAGCCTTAGCAAGGAAATCGGCTCGTTCGTTCCCAACAACACCTGTATGACCACGAACAAATGAAAATGCAACCGAAATATTTTTATCTTTTAGGTTTTCAGTTCTTTTTGAATCTCGATAATGATATTATTAGAAGAAGAAATACATTTTAAGATCTCCAAGGATGAAAGGGAATCAGTACAAATGAGATAGTCTGAAACAGCACTATTTTGTTCAGAGACCCATTTGATCCATGCATGTTACGGATAAGTTCTTTTCCTAAAAGATCTTTGATGAGATAAGGAGCAACTTAATAATTGGAACTTTTCATAAGAGATACTGTAAGGATCTTAAGTTTTACTAACGTTTATTTTATTTTAAATCTTTACTATCACTTCTTATTTTCTACTTCCGGCCAGAATTATAAGCGTGAAGGTATTTATGCAAAGTTTGTCTGGCGAACGCCAAGTATTTAAGTTGTGGCTTTTTGCCAAGCGAGAGAGAGGAAGCAGTGAGTCGAAGCAGGCCGCTTACCTTAGAAGTTTTACGCAGTTGCTGTTTGCCTTCCAGGCCAGAGGTTTTAATCCTCTTGATAATTTTTAAACGTATTGTAGTGTTCACAGTTCTCTGTACTACATACGCTTCCTGTTAATATAAGGCCAATCTTCCACGTTTATTATTTTAAAGTTAAATTAGAGTTTAGTTCTATTTTTATACTTTTTACGTTTTGACCCCAAGTAGCAGGTCGGTGTATTCCGAAGTACGGAAGTCATTGTAAATAGAGAAAAATAAAGGGTTTTCTATACCCTTCTTGTGTATCCTGTTTACTTCCCACAGTTTTGAACATAGCTTTAGTAAGCTCTCTGTTCCGAGTCAGGTCCTTGCATGTTCCCGAAGAAGGTTAGAAGGAACATTGACCCTGATAATACTTATGAAAATATAAATTTCATACAAGTTAAAGGTACCCCGTTATTTGATTCATTACCAGAAACCTCTTGCTATAACCAAACTTTCAGGAGATATTTAGTTATGCACTTTTTTAAAACAGTTCGCGACAAAAGTCAAGAACATTTTGATAAGTATGGCTAAACACAGATCTTCATTTTGTAGGCGATTTCAATTTATATTTGAAATTTTGTAGATTAAAGTCATAGTACAATTCATAGTACAAAATCTATAATACAACGAAGTACGATTTATGCGTTTCTTACTCATATGACTTTTACCTAATTACGCCATTTTTACCCCAATTAATTATTATTCATGCTAATAGTAAGCTATTTAATTTATGTGATGTATGACTTATATAGCATGTATGACTATATGTCATTTTCTACATTTAATGGTACATTTATTTCTGCAGTTGAAACATTTCTGTGAATGATATTTTTCTAAGTTTTTCTTTTTGAAAAGCATTTGCAAGCTGTATATTGAAATACGAGAGGGGATGGAGAAGAAGACGTGGGATATTTCAGACTAGACTGGGATTCAAATCAGCATCCTTAACAGAAGGGGCTGTTGTTCAAATCCGGTTGGTGGATAGAAGAAGGATCACTTGGAGCAGAGATTCGCAGTCTATGCTCCGCGGAGCCATAAGGGCGTCCCGTGGAGCTTCCCAGGAGCTGCCTGGCAGCTCCAGAAAAATGAAATAAATAAAAAATTGAATGAAATCGAAAATAAGAAACAAAAACTAAAAACAAAAACAAATTTTTTTTAAAGCAAAATTTTGCGAAGCTGAGTTTCATGTCTCGGAACAGACCATTATTTAGAGCTGCTTTTTCGAGAAGCTTATCACTCATTTTCGATCCTTCAAGAATTCTTGGAATTCGCTCTAAGCTTCAAGAAGCTTAGCTTCATATAAGTAGCTTTATCAATTTGGTGTCTAATCACAGTGAACGTTCCCAGCGATTATATCGTGAATTCTCAGCTGCTCTTCCACGTACGTTTTTGTGTCTTTTTTAATGTTATGTTTTAATTTAGACCTACAGCCTGCAGATGCATTATAATTGCATAATAATAAAATTACGCGCACCAGCGGTCGAGCGGTAAAGTCGCTGAACACAAGTAGTTCGGTCCGAGGTTCGAATCCTGGCAAAAGGGCTAGTTGTATGCGTGTTTTTCGTGGGTTTCCCACGTTTAATTTGTATACGAGCCATTTTCCCCTGGGAAGTCTTTCACGAAGGTATCTCTCCGCTTAGACAGATAGAAGTTCATTTTACATTAATTCCTTTGGGGAAAATTATTTCGGTTTACCAATATTTCGGATGATGTCAAGAATTAAGATTCTTCAGCAATGAGGAATCAGAAGGATGAATTCTTCAGGAATTAATTAAATTTGTGAACCAACGTTTCAGTGTATTTGTTGTAATACCATTTGGTTTATTTTATTGTAACTTTTGACAATGTTACACTGAAAATAAATTGAGATATTATGACAAAATTAAACATCATTCACTTGTAAGATATAGAATGGGCCAAAGCGGTTTCGCAATTCGAAAGGTTTGGGAACTGCTGGGTTAGAGGATTAACAGATAACAATGAGCATATTTTAACTGAATTATTATTTGTCCTTGCACTGTTGTGTGTTTTGCTTAAAGCTCAAAATCAAACGAAGACTTTTTCTTTAAGATAACTCAAAATCTAAATTTGTACTAAAACATAAATTTGTTATTTTTTCAAGAGAAGCAATTTAAATAAAACTAATTTCGTTCTCATTTTATGTTAATACTAGCAGCTACGCTGCCAGCCTTCTTCTGGTTTTTAAATGTACCGGAAAATGCCTGAAGGGAAACACCAAACGTTAAATTTAAAAACTGCTCAGAATTTTACTCTGCAGAACAACTTTATATATATATAAAACCACAAACTAAAAAAATGTATTACGTATAACAAAATTACAACGAAATAAGCAATATCTCTTAATACAAATATTAATTATTCTAATAAATAAATTAACCAACTTCCTGTTGCCCCGCAAACGTCCAGTATCCAAGAGATTTGGATTGGATTATTTAATTATGGCAAAGCACACGAGGGCTATCTGCCTAAAGGGAGGGATGCCTTTAGGCAGATAGGACAGATAGGACTGTGGAGGACTTTCTAAGGAAAACTGGCTCTTATACACGTTACACATGGGGAAAACCACGAAAACGCCCATGCAGCCAGCCCGTTCGCGGGATTCGAACTTCAGACCAAACTACCAGTGTTCAGCGTCTTTACCGCTCGGCTATTCAGTATCCAAAAGAAACATTAAATTTAAAAACTGCACAGAGTTATCGCCATCATTTTTTCAAGTGGCAACAGTGCTGATTTTCAACAGTCAACAGTTCAGTACACAACTGAATGAAAAATTGTTGCCAAAATTACATTTCGAAACGAATGAAACTAATATTCAAAATGATGTGAGGAAATCGAAAAGATGAAATAAAAAAAAAAAAAAAGTCTTATTCGAATTTTGAAAAATCGCTTCGAGGTGCACTGGCTGTTGTCTAGATGCACCTATATACCAAATTTCGTAGCCCTGGGTTTATTAACTTACGTGCAGCATGAACGAAAAGCACACAGACTCTTTCTTTTATTACTTGTAGAGATTATATTTCATTCTTATGGTTATAATAATGAGATGTTTTAAACAGTTGAATTACAAAAAATACAAGGTAATATTTTAAACAACTAAGATCAGAAGAAAAAATTTTATAATAATAGTAGTAATAAAATTTTAAGCTAAAATGTATGTCTCTCATTCTTAAATTAGAATTTCGCTTATACGTTTTCTTATTTGACACAAACGCATACATATTTACATTCATCCTTTTTGCGCATTATTAGATACATCTTTTTTAATACAAACGGTACTTCATTGTACACTGTGGGGAAAAAAAAGTGGAGACAGTTTTAGATCTCCCGTTCTATTGACAAAATTAAAATTGGGTTTTTCATGTCTCGAAAGCGCGACTTAGGGTATGTATTAGATTTATATATAGCACTATTTTAATATGGGTATTTTGACACAAAATCGGACATTTTCTGAAATGACATGTCAATTTTTTTCCGTATTTCAATTCTACGACTTAAATTATGCCAAACTTACAAGTTTTGTAAAAATCGCATGAGTCGCTTTTAAATAATTAGCCCTCAAAATTTTAGCTTCTCAATATGTAAAGCTATAAGAAAATATTAATTGAATTTGGTATATATTTCTTAATACCTCTTTCTTTTATTTAAACTTATTTTCTTCTTTTTTTCACATTTCGAAATTTAGGTTCATTCCAAATAAAATTCGCCCATTTTTTATGATTTATTTTTAAAATTTGTATTTTTTAATAATTTTTATAGTTTTTCAAAAAAATTGGCGTGTAATTTCGGAAAGAATCCGATTTTGTGTCAAAATACCTAAGTTAGAATAATGCTATATATAAATCTAATATATATCTTAAGTTGCGCTTTGGAGACAAAAAACGCAATTTGAATTTCGGTAATCGGCCCAGTAGAACGGGAGATATCGAAACTGTCCTATTTTTTTTTCTTTTTCCCCTTTTCTTTCCCCCCTTTTTTATTGCGCAGTGTATATGACTTTGTAATACAGTTCTGATGTTTTGAAGAGTTTCTGAAGAAAAATCAAGTTGTATAATAATACACCGAATTTTACAAAATAAAAATCTCTTTGGATGAATTACTTTAAAACGTTGAAAAATACTCACCAACAAGTGTGTTCTGTTTACAACTTATAACCATGTACCAAATTTCCTTTTTCTTTGAGAAGGGAGATGTAGAGCTATAAGAAAATATTGTCTTAAAATAAAAATTTATTTAAATATATAAAATATTTCAAATAAATTTTAAATGTCTCTTAAGCTCCTATTTTGGTGTTTTTCATCTTCAGCATCCGAGCCATTATGAGAAAGAGGAAATATTGTTCATGGCTCTCTGCCCTTCCTTTGTGAAGACGAATATTCTAGAAGATATCAAGTCTAAATCACTGGAGACAGGACTTGATGTTACTAGAAGAGAGTTATTAAGGTAAAGAAATATGCATTTCAGTTTTGTGCAGTTAATCAAGTCGTATTAGTTTTGTTGATTTCACTTAAGTGCCATACAAATCCTCTCATTCAAGCTTCGTGAGAATAGGAATCGGAATATTTTTGAAAATTTTTTAAAAAAATGCTCGAAAGGAAAGAAGGAAAGGGAATAAAGGAAAAAGTGTTTTAATCATACAAACGAAATTAATTTTAACATAATGAAACAACATTTTAGGTTTTGCTGAAAAGTAATTCAAAAGTTGTTCTTTCATGTAGTTGTTATCTTGCTTTAAAATGTAAACCAAGATATTCAGACGCTCAGACGGTATAGTGATTAGGGAAACCTACTGTGGTATCGAAGGACCCGGGTTAGAATCCCGGAGAAGGTATGGTGTTTATAAATGTATAGTGTCTTTGCGACAGGGGGGCAGTCTAAAATATATGACGAGCTAAAAGTCCTCTCGTGTGTTTTGGGAGACCTTCGGACTACCCTCCCAGGGGAGCTCTTCTTTAAAACACTGGGGTGGTAGTAGAAGTGCAACCTCCTTGTGGTTCTGTCAACCACCATGAAATAAACGGATAAGGCAACAACAACCAAGATATTCAAAAATCGTAAAAAAGTGGTAAAATGTAAAGATGTTTTAAAATGTGACAAAAGAAAGTAAAAATAGTTTATTTTAAATGGTTTTTCTTTGGAATCTAATTTTAATATATAATTTTTGATTCAATGATATCATAATGTTAAAAATTTATTCAAAACTTTGACAAGAAATTTGCATAACATAGATTTTTTTTCAGATAAATTACGCTTAAAATTATTAAAAGGTGGATAAGTCGCCAAATTAAAAGGTGGGTCGCCAAACACGGGGCCGTAAATAAAAAGAATTATTTTTCTCATAATAAAGAAAAGGAATTTAGACGGTAATTAGACTTTAGCGGACCTGCCAAGAGCATGGCCTTTAAATACAGATTCGGCAACAAATTGCAACTACCATAATTTTTGCCGCCTTTACAATAAATAAATAAATAAAATAAATGCGGAAATCGCATAAAATAAACTAAATAAATAATTTTTAATTGCCTTATCAAAATTAAATTTAAAAAAATAGAAATGGAATTTTTATGATTGTAATTATGATATGAAGATAAAGGTAATTGTAAATACTAATAAGAATAAAATAATTAAAATGCATTGAGCCCCCTGTTCCATTTTATTATTAAGCATATACTGCACACATAGTACCATAAAGTTATTGTATTCTAAGCTTGAAATGGTAACTTCCCTGATTATAAAACTTTATTAGCCCAAAAGGGCTATTAGTCTCAAAATGGGATTTTGTGTGAAAACACTATAAATGCGTCGTGTCGCTTTTCATTCAAGTTTATTGCCATTTTGCAGAATGTAAGGTATCTATATTTCAGATTGAATCTGCCTCTTGTAGATTAGCAAAGTCAACTATTTGAAAGCAATAGGAGCAGTTTTTAACTATTTGAAATTAATAGGAGCAGTTTTTAACTATTTGAAATTAATAGAAGCAGTTTTTAACTATTTGAAAGCAATAGAAGCAGCACTTCTTGTTTTTGAATCGGATTGATATAAATAATAGCATTTAACTCATCTAATTAAAAATATTCAATATTTTTACAGAAGGATGTTATTTTTTATTATTCATTTCATATTTTGTAAAAGTTTAATGAAGTTTTGATTAATAAACTCAAATAGTTTGTGAGAGAGCCGTGGTAACACCATACAGAATAAAACATTTTATCTCCAGAACGCGAGAGTGTCTATTCGAAATTCGGAAGATATGCTGTTTTTAAATACTTTGTGATTTCTCCTGTTGAATTGAGTTTTATATGGCGTAAGTGCGAAGAATGTGATATTTAACAAATAAAGCTAACACACAAAACGTTAATAATAAAAAGAAAAAAAAGTTTTGTAAGCCATCTTACTAAAAAAATTGAACATTGATATGATAAACTGAGAAAAGACTGATAAAAAAATAGAAAAGTATGTGCCAACATTTAACACTGCATCAAGAATTCTAAACATATGCTGATTTTAAAAGTTTTGCGATTTTGCCGTTAAATTGTATGTGGTGGTAGTGCGAAGAAAACGATGCTTAATAATAAAGCTTAAAACAAGAAAGAGAGAGAGAGAGAAATCATTAGGAGGAGTGTTACGAAGTGAATAACGATACTAATGCGTAGTTCGAAAGGCTAGTAATAACTTGACGATTATTGTTCGAAAGCAAATTTTGTTTCGACGAATATGCATCAGTGGTAAATTTGATCTGTTTGGATACAAAATCATGACGATATCTTCATTTATATTTAAGAAAGCACCAAAACTACAGACAATACTGACTACAATACTAAAATCGCCAGGAGAATTGACTCTTGATTTCTCAGCAAAATAAAAATTGTCTATTAAGATTGTTGTTTTAAATCATTTGAAATGATTTTAAAGTTTCGACAAAATACAATCGCCTTCACAGCCGATATAAAGGAAGCGTGTCTACAAATTTTGATCGATCCTAGTGATAGAAAATTTACTAGATTCTTCTGGACTGATGATATCGGTTCCTAATTCATATCAAGAAATGAACTTTAGTAGAGTTTTATTTGGACTAAAACCAAGTCCATATTTATTAGCTGCAACTCTGAAATATCATTTTGATAAATGTAAAGAAGAATTTCCTGATACTTGCAAATTACTGTCAGAATGGTTTTATGTCGACGATTTGATTGGAGGCGAAGAAGACTTGCAAGCGGCTTTGAAAATTACGACTGAAAGTGTAGAAATTCTCAAAAGATGTGGCATGATATTACGAAAATGGAAAACCAATTCCATGGAACTGCGTAAGCTGTGGAAAGATGCTGAGTTCGACATCGATGAGGAAAAGAGCTCAAGTACGGGACTTGACTCACCATCCAAGGTGTTGGGTCTAGTTTGGGATCCAGATGCGGACAGTATATCTTTTAACGTGAAAGAATTATCAAAGTTTGTCAAGAACGGAACTGCTTCGAAAAGGTTTATTCTTCGAGTAGTGGGTCGTATTTATGATCCTATCGGATTTCTTGGGCCTTTCATCATAAAGCTGAAGTGCATTCTACAAGAACTGTGGAGTCATGACATGAACTGGGATGACAAACTTCCATCGTCACTGGATCACAAGTGGCAGTTGTGGTGCAGTGAAGTCGAACACTTAGAAGATCTCCAGATTCCTAGATGTTATTTTTCAAATTTGAACTGTAAATTTATGTCATTCGAAATTCATTCTTTTTCAGATTCATCTCTTTTAGCCTATGGAACTGTATTGTATTTAAGAGCTATATCTGAATATGGGAGGATAAGTATCAGTTTTATTTGTTCTAAAAGTCGTGTAGCTCCTCTGAAAGGTCTTACATTACCAAGACTGGAATTAATGGGAGCTTTATTGTCCGCAAGATTAGTCCATCAAGTAAGTAAATGTCTTAAATTTAATACTTCTAGTTATTTTTGGACCGACTCGATGATTACATTATGTTGGATTAAGGGACAAGCTAGTAAATACAAAACTTTCGTAAAAAATAGAATAGAAGAAATTCAATCTTTATCAGATACCAATAATTGGGCTCATTGCCCTGGTAAGGATAACCCTGCAGATATCTTGTCCAGAGGAATTTCTGCAGCAAATTTAGCTACAAACCAGCTTTGGTGGCACGGTCCACCATGGCTAAGCCAATCACCTGAATACTGGCCTACTGAGAGAGACAGAACTTAAAATCTATAGACGAAGACTTAGAGCTGAAAAAAGAATTTGAAAGTACAGTGCAAAATAACTGTTTGGTAGAAAATTTGAAATTTATTTTAGATTTAAGGAAATATAGTTGTTTGTTAAAAGTACTAAGAGTAACTGCACTAGTTAAACGGTTTGTTAATAAACTTCAAAAACGACAAACGATTGCAGGTCCCCTCACAGCAGAAGAACTTCAAAATGCTGAAATAGACTGGATAAAACATGAGCAAAACATAGAGTTCAACTTAGAATTACAGAACCTTAAAAATGGTAAATCGATTCCTAAAAACTCTCCACTTTCAAATTTAGCCCCATTTCTCGACAGTTGTGGTGTATTGCGCATAAAAGGAAGATTAGAAGAAGGAGCGTTTACAAAGGATGAAGCTCATCCTATGCTTCTTCCTAAGCAGTCTAAATTTACAGAGTTAATTATTATTCGAGAACATAATAAAATTTTTCATGGTGGAGTTACATTTACGCTAGCCAAAATTAGGTCTAGATTTTGGATTCCACGAGGTAGACAAGTTATAAAAAGATTATTAGATAACTGCCTAATTTTTCGAAAGTATAAGTTGAAACCAGCTAAACAAATAACTAGTCAACTACCTAAAATGTAGAATTACTGAAAACCCTCCTTTTACTGTAACTGGCATAGATTTCACTGGCCCAGTTTTAATAAAATCAGGAAAGGATACGCCTCAAAAGGCTTACATAACATTATTTACATGCAGTGTTACTAGAGCTGTGCACATAGAATTAATCACAAATATGTCAACAAAAAATTTTATTTTGTCATTAAGGAGATTTTTAGCTAGGAGAGGAAATTGTAAAGTTATCATTTCCGACAATGCTAAGAGCTTTAGAGCCACTAATGAAATTCTTAAAGAATTTAGCAAAAATTATAATAGATTCAAAATTGAAAGATTTCATATCAATAAACGGCATAACTTGGCAATATATTGCGCCTCACGCGCCTTGGTGGGGTGGTTTTTATGAAAGGCTTATGAAAAGTATCAAAGATCCTTTGAGAAAGGTTCTCGGAAGGGCTCTTCTTAACTTTGAGGAAATGATGACTATTCTATCAGAAATTGAGTTAGTTTTAAATCATAGACCTCTTACTTATGTCCATAATGAAATAAAAGAGCCAGAAGCTCTTACACCTGCCCATTTCTTGTTTCCAGGGCAAGAAAATATTTCTTATCCTGTACATTTCGCCGACCTTTTCAGGAATGAACCATTGAACAGGCAGACTTTGACTAGGAGAAAACTGTATCATCTACTAACTAATCTTTTGAAACAAATTTTGGAAAAAGTGGAAGGAGAATTATCTCCTCGAATTACGGTCTGCGCATACTTTTCTAAATCCATCTCCTGAAAGGAATCTTAAAAAGGGTGAGGTTGTATTGCTGGAGGGGTCGACGAAATCAAAATTTTTATGGCCTATTGGAATTATAGAAGAAGTTTATAAAGGTAGGGATGGGTATGTGCGTTCATGTTTGATTCGTACTTCTCAAGGACTTTATCGAAGACCCGTCCAATTAATCTATCCTTTTGAAGTTTAAAGTTATATATATATGTTTGTTTCATGTATTGTATTTAATTTGCAATGTAGTTTTCAGTATTAATTTGTGCATATTGATTTTGATTATATCTAAATATATTATTGATATGTAAATTTAATGTGCTCTTAAAGAGCACAGGTGGGGTGTGTTGGAACTTTTCATAGTATAGAGGGCGCTGTTGCGCCAAAGAATTCTGTGTTTTTTACATTATGTAACTGTAGTTCGCCATTGCGATGTATGTGTATTACTGTGATATATTTTGGTGCTTTCATTAAATATAAATGAAAGATATCGTCATGAATTTTTTGTATCCAAATCAAGATCAAATTTACCACTGATGCATATTCGTCGAAACAAAATTAGCGTTCAACAAGAATGGTCAAGTTATTACTAGCCTTTCGAACTACCATTAGATATCGTTTTCGCTTCGTAACATGTGGTGCATCGGCCGGGAATCGAACCCGGGCCGCCCGCGTGGCAGGCGAGCATTCTACCACTGAACTGTGGAGTCATGACATAGACTGGGATGATGAACTTCCATCGTCACTGGATCACAAGTGGCAGTTGTGGTGCAGTGAAATCGAACACTTAGAAGATCTCCAGATTCCTAGATGTTATTTTTTTTTTTTTTTTTTTGAACATTGATATGATAAACTGAGAAAAGACTGATAAAAAAATAGAAAAGTATGTGCCAACATTTAACACTGCATCAAGAATTCTAAACATATGCTGATTTTAAAAGTTTTGCGATTTTGCCGTTGAATTGTATGTGGTGGTAGTGCGAAGAAAACGATGCTTAATAATAAAGCTTAAAACAAGAAAGAGAGAGAGAGAGAAATCATTAGGAGGAGTAAGTGTAAGAGCAGAATGGTAGACTCCGAGCTCAGCGAGAGCGTAAAAACTTAACAAACGCCTTTTGGGCGACCGTTAAAACTCTCTGAAATCTTTCAATTTTTTTTAAAGAGCTTGAAATGCTTACTTTGCTGATTACAAAAGTTTATTCATTTTTATTTTCAGCCCCGAATACGTGTCAGAAGGTATACTGAAACTTCTGAAAGATAAAACCAATGGATCTACATTGCTCGTCACAGTAAAGAAGGGATACCAGTACATTAGCTATCAAGAAGAATTCAAAGATATCACCCTTGAGTAAAGAATTAAGAAAATACCTTTTATCTAGTAGAAGAAGATTCAATCTAAATGCTTTATTGTATATACTCAATGGCTTTATTTCCAACGTGTATTTTACGAACGACGTTTCTTTCCATCAAAATTAATTGAATAAAATATCTGACAAAATAATCTTTTAGCAGTTTAATTTCCAAATCTAAGTAAGTTTAAAATATTTTACAGATGGACTTTCTAATTTAAACTTATTATTATTTTTTTAATATTTATTTTTAATATTTAATATTAAGGTTAATTTATCATGAATAATTATAATATTTGATAAAATAAATTAATCTTTTATTGATTTTGCTCTCGATTTTGACAACAGAGGAGGATTACAGGATGATTAATTTATAGATAAAATCATGAAACGATAAATAAATGAAAAGTAGAAAAAGAAACTAGAAAAAGCCTTATAATGTGCAGTTCAATTTGAAATTGCATTAAGGCTTAAATCGAGAGCATTAAGGCTGCATGGTAGAAAATTTTTGTTAAGGAGGGATGTTATTGTCATTTAATAGGTAAAATTTTGTCTTAGCAAGATACGATCATGTCTCTGAAATTGTTGGGTTAGAAGAGAAGAAATTAACTGGGAGTAGCTTTTGGTGAGTATTGCCAATGCATTAAAAATAAAAGCTTTATCTTCCATGCGCCATCGTGACTGGCCAGTTTTCAAAATACTGCTGTTCAGCAAAACATAGGACCTTCAATTTATCTCTTAATTCAATTATTCAATTCAATTTAATCAATTGTTATTGATTGCAAACAAAGCGATATGGAAAGAATAAAAATGCTTCTTAATAATTCAAATCGTTATCTGACATTTCTAGTAATGTATGTAATTAAGTAAATTGCATTTAATTTATAATATATTCAAACTGTTCAAATCTGTTGTGCATGATGGGTTAATTAGACATAAGGGGGGGCAGATCAGTAATGTCGGAAGACAACAAAAACTAATTGCTGATAAGCAAGCAAGAAATGACAGTTCAGAAAATCTACGTCTGTGAATATATATATATATATATATAGAGAGAGAGATGTTAGCTTTGATTCTATTCTATTCTACAGTATTGATCTCGATAATGTCTCTACTATTAGTAATTTTGAAAGTGATACTGTTTGTGCTGGTAATGTTTCTAAGTGCTGTGGTGAATCGAAATAAAACCTGTGAATGACATCCTGACTGATGGCTTCATTTTGGCGAAGAATACGGCCAAGCCAAATAAGATCTAAATACCCAATATTTATCTACTCCTTCAAAACAAATTTCATAAATTTTCTACGGTTGATGATGAAAGTACAAATGTTAGTAATGTTGTTAGTGCTATCTGTGCTATGATCAACCACGAGGGGTTAAACGGAGATGATGGTCCGGCGATTTTTAAATGGACTGTAACTCTCAATTAAACTAATTTTCAAACTACTTTGTAACATATCTTTATCTTTATTATACTAATTTTTGAGAGACGCTCAGGCTCCCACAATCACTCTCTGCTTCGCCATTGAAGCCAACTCTCAAGTAATTAACATTCTTTTTGTAAACAGTAACGATGGCAGCGCCATCTGGCTTCAGAGGGACTTAACACTCCCCCGGATTGAAATTACAAAATTTCAAGAAATTATACAACATTGTAACTTAAACAAAGTTAATATACTTATAAACAACATATAATATACTATTACTATAACTACAGCTATTACAATACTAGGATAACAATACAATACATATGCAATAATATCATTTCAGTTTTCTATCGGAAGAACGGCGATCTTTGTTATCGCTCTTTTTCAATTCTCCTGATTTTGTTTTGATTTTAACCGTTCTTACTTTATTGTCAGATCCATGATAGACTTTAATAACCCGACATAATATCCATTTGCAAATTGGCAGATAATCCTCCTTAACGAGTACCATAGTACCAACAGAAATATTGTCCTTCTCTATCATCCACTTGTTTCTCTGCTGCAGAGTTCCTAAATAGTCATTTGACCATTTCTTCCAAATAATTTGAACTACTTTCGTTGTTCTCTGCCACCGGCTTAATCGATTTTTATTTACGTCTATTATCATTGGCTCCGGAATCGTCTGTATTGATCTCCCTATTAAAAAATGACCTGGGGTCAAAACGTCATAACAATCAAAATCATTGGAAATAGGTGTAAGAGGTCTCGAATTTAGTATTCCTTTTACCTGCAAAATTATGGTTTCAAACTCCTCATATGTAAAACGCAAATTTCCTATTGTTCTCTTTACATGATACTTTACGGACTTTACACCGGCTTCCCATAGCCCTCCGAAATGAGGGGACTTGGGAGGTATAAAGTTCCAGTCTATTCTTTCGGACGTGAAAAATGAGGCCAAAGTTTTATCAGGAAAATTAATTACATTGTAAAATTTCTTCAACAGAGAATTTGCTCCTACAAAATTAGGGGCATTATCAGTGAATATTTTCGCACATTTGCCACGTCTGGCCATGAAACGCTTAAGAGTGGCAATTAAAGCACTAGAAGTTAAATCTGACAAAGGCTCAAGATGAATAGCTCGTGTCACAAAACATATACATACACAAATGTAAATTTTATTTAGCACGCCCTTTCTCTGATGCTTGTAAGTCACATAAAAGGGACCGCATAGATCCAAACCTGAAACACTAAATGGGGGTGATCTATTAACTCTCTCGTATGGCAAATTGCCCATAATCTGTGAAGACAAAATCGGTTTGCATTTAAAGCATGTCACACAAAGATGTACTGTTTTTCGCGCCAAATCTCTACCACCTAATGGCCAAAATTTTAAACGTACTGCATTCAATAATCCTTGGGGCCAAGACATGCAATAATCTTCTGTGCACACTAGAAAAATAAATCTTACTTAGCTTAGAATTTTTTGGTAGGATTGCAGGATATTTCTGAGAAAATGGTAAAGAAGCTTTTTCAAGACGGCCACCAACGCGAATTATTCCTTTACGATCAACAAAGGGATGTAAATTTTTTAAGTTACCTGTTATGTCCTTTTTACAAAATAGAACCTTCTGCTCATGCTTAATAAGCATTTCCTCAGCTATTCTTACCTCCTCTAGTTGAAGAGGGCCTACCTTTCTTGATTCACCTTTCCTGCAATTACAAATAAACCTAAAAATATAAGAAAGAACATTAATTATTCTATAATAATTGTTACTAATATTCAAGAGTTCGTCTAAAACGTTAGAGTTCATGTCAATCAACATAGTTCTCTCAGAAATGTCATTAATGTCACTAGAACTTTTGCTTTCTTGCACAAAGGACTCCCTTTCATTTGGTGTGAGGTTCTCAACCTCTGGAACTATTGGTTGTAAGCACTTGTAGGGAAGATGCGGCTCTGTAAAACATTCTGCACAAGTCTACCACTTAGAATTGTTCACTAGAGAAGAGGCACTAACTCCATGCGTTAGAAGATCGGCTGGATTGTCTTTGGTTGAACAATAAAACCATGAATCTGGATTAGTCAACTTCTGAATCTCGTCGACGCGATTTTGAACGAAAGACTTCCATCTTCTGCTTGATCCTTTGATCCAATACAGTGTAACTTTAGAATCACTCCAAAAAAAGATATTAGATGAACCTTTACGATCTAGAACTTTTTTAACTTCCGTTCCCAATCTTGCAGCAATCAGTGCACCCAGCAATTTAAGTCGAGGCAAGGAAACTTTTTTGACAGGTGAAACTCTGCTCTTGGAAGCCAGCAAATTCACAGAAATTTTTTTCTTGATTCTGTACCTTTACGTAAACGGCTGCACCATACAACTTTTGACTTGCGTCAGAAAAAACATGGATCTCTATATTTTCATCACATGAATCCAAAGCAAATCTTGGAACACTAATGTTACTAAGTTCTGAAAGCTCGCTACACCACTGAGACCACTCGTCGTTCAAATCAGAAGGAAGCTCTTCATCCCATGGTAATTTACGTAACCATAGCTTTTGTAATAAAAGTTTTATTCTAACAGTGAATGGTGTGATGAGTCCAAGAGGATCATATATTTTTCCAGCTGTTTGGAGGATGAAGCGTTTGGTACTTTTCTTTCTCCTCGAAATTTTCGTCAAACAAGAAGTCTCTATACTCAAATTATCTTCCTGAATGTTCCATTGAATTCCTAATACCTTCAGTATCCTTTCATTTGAGCTTAGGGGATGAATATCAAAATTTTCTTCTTCCCATTTTTTAGCTAAATGATAATCATTCGTCACCCATTTGCGTAGATTCATCCCAGCTCCACGCATAATTTCCTTTGCTTCCCTTGAAGTTTTTAAGGCTTCTGATACATCATCTGCTCCTGTAACAAGATCATCAACATACATACATGTATCAAGAATTTGAAAGGTATCGGGATACACATTTCTGTACTTTTGGATATGCAGCTTTATAGTTGCCGCTAACAAAAAAGGACTGGAATTAACACCAAAGAGCACACGCTTAAATCTATACACTTCTAGCTGATCGTCGGTATTCTGTAAAGGTGTATCAATATTCTTAACAAATAAAAATCTAACTGCATCTCGATCTTTTTCAGCTAATACGATCTGTAAAAATGCCTTTTCGATATCTCCTAAGATTGAAACTCTATTAAATCTAAAATATATCAGCAAGTGAAATATATTTTGATTCAGATTAATACCTGGCCACAAACAATCATTCAGGGACAGACTACCTATTTCATGTGAGCTCGCATCAAATACAATACGCATTTTTGTTGTAATGCTTTCTTCTCTATAAACTGCCTGATGCGGCATATAAAAAACTGGCTTGTTTACTGGTTTCGTAGAATCTAATATTCTTTCTATTATCCCTTGATTTAGGTACTCTTCTAAAGTTTCTCTATATTTCAGGTATAATGTATTATCATGCTGCATTTTTCTCATCAGGATTTTTATTCTTTTTTCTGCGCGACACCAAAATTGTCGCCTAAATGTTTCCCAACGTTTCTTTCCAAGGCAAACTAACAATATAACGACCATCTTCTGAAACTAACAGTTTTGTTGAATATCTCTAATGCTTTTATCTTCATCGTAAGAATTGGGATCATCTCTGATACCAATTGATTCCAAATAAAAAAAAAACTTTTCTTCAACTGTGCTTCGACATTCTCATAAATTAACCCACAATGCATTAATTGTTTCTCATGTGGTAAATCTTCAATGCTACCGCTTACCAAATACCCAAATGCTGAGTTTTGTAACACTAAATTTGTATTTGGTACATAAATTTGCCCGGATCTTATCAAATCGAAAAATATTTCAGATCCTAAAAGTAACTGAATTTTACCCGGTTTGTGAAAGTCTCTGGATCAGCTAACGTAACTCCTTGTGGAATCTCAATATTACAGACATCAATTTGTCTAGAAGGCATCAAATGAGTAATTTTCGGAATTACGAAAAAATCTAGTTTACGACTGTATGTGTTTCCTCTATTTAAAATAACCGCACTTATTTTTGACTTCACCGTTGTTGAAATCCCAGATAAACATCCTACTGATACGTTTACATTTTCTCTTTGCAAATAAAGCTTCTCAGCTAATTCCGATGAACAAAGATGAATCATACTTCCACTGTCAAGCAAAGTTCTGGCTGGAAATATTTCTCTTCCATTTCCCTTAATATAAACAATCGCTGTCGATAGTAGGACTCTACTAACTGCATTACAATTTTTATTTACATTAGCTGTCATAAAACACTCGCTATCCTTATTTATAAATGGCTTTGCGTGAGCGTTCAGTTTCGCTACTTCCGTAGACGAACTGGCGTCTGACTTTTGATTCGACAGAGAGGCGATATCGCAACTCTCTCTATTTTGGGAAATCGAAACTTTTTCTCGCTCATAACACAGTAACGAATTGTGCTTTTTTCTGCATAGCCTACAAGAGTAATTTGAAGGGCAATTTCTCACTCCATGATTTCCAAAACAGCAGAAACATAAGTTGTGCTTTTTAACATACTCGACTCTATCCTTTAAGCTGAATTTTTGAAATTTAGGGCATTTAAATAATTTATGTTCCACATTACACAGTTTACAAATTAAAGCACGTTTTTTCAGTCACACATGAAACCATTGAAGAAACCTTTGATTGACTTACTGAAGCTTTTGATTTAGACATTACTGGAATTCTAGAAGCGTTTAATGTCCTCGCGTGATCCTTTAGAAATTCTAATAACTCTGTAATGTTCGGTATTTTTTTTTCTTTCTTTAAATTCCTTTCCCACCATAACTTAGTATTCTGATCAAGTTTTCTGGCTAAGAATAAAGGCAAATATAGCGGATGAAACCCCATCTAACTTTTGTTCTAAACATTCTAACGATCTTACAACTTCACTTGTAACATCAATTAAATTTAGAATCGCAGAAGCTGACTCGTTTTGAATAACGGGAATACTCATAAATCTTTTAAGATGAGCATACACTTGTTCTCTAGGATTCGAGTATCTTTCTTCAAGGAGAGACCACGCTAACTTATAATTATTATCCGTTATAGCTATCGTTTGGATAATTCTAAAAGCATCTCCTTTCAGTGCTGATTTCAAATATTGCAATTTTACAGCATCTGATAAATTTGGGTTTTGATCAATACTCGCTTTAAAAATGTCCTTAAAGGAAAGCCAAGAATGCATTTCTAATGAAAATGTCGGTAACGAAATCTTAGGTAAACGCACAACAGTATTTTCAGAAATTACTGCATTTTCTACTTTATTTTCTTTAACAACGTTCGACAATCTATTATTTATTTCAAATTCTATATCAATAATACTACTATTGATTTCATCTTGCTCACTGAAGATTTTTTCGATATTTTCTTCACTACTTAAATTGATAATAGAATCAAAAATAATATCAAATTCATTTTGCAGATTGTTAAATTTAGTTTTTAACAATTCTAAATCACTAACACTTAAATCTGGCTCACAAAGTTTCTTTTGCAACTTCGATAAGATAGTTTTTTTGAGTTCTCTTTTTAGTGAGAACATCTTTCAGTTTCGTAGCCATTTTCGCTACACTTATCAATAACAAATTATCACACAAACTTAATTCAGAATTTACTAAATGCAACAGTTAATAATGAATAGAGTTTCAAGGGTTTTTTACTTACCCCTTTCTTTCAGCAACTGGCTATAATCCACAAACACAAATTCCATTGAAACAAAATGGCAAACTCACTGTCTTACACTAGATTATTTATTTAGCTGATATCTCTGCGGCTCTACTGGACACTCAAATGGTCCGGCGATTTTTAAATGGACTGTAACTCTCAATTAAACTAATTTTCAAACTACTTTGTAACATATCTTTATCTTTATTATACTAATTTTTGAGAGACGCTCAGGGTCCCACAATCACTCTCTGCTTCGCCATTGAAGCCAACTCTCAAGTAATTAACATTCTTTTTGTAAACAGTAACGATGGCAGCGCCATCTGGCTTCAGAGAGACTTAACAGATGATATGCAGTGCCCTAAAGTAAAACCCATTATGGTCCAGCTTAGAGTTAAATTTTCTGACTATCTGAAAAATCTTAAACTAGATATTGAATGGAATCTTTCTGAACGGGTGAAGGGTGATTTCTTGAAAGTTTTCCCTAAAGAGGAAAAGGATCACAGAATTATCTCTAAATATCTCATTGACAAACAAATTCGTCATTATATTATCAACCATAAAAATAAACGAATACTTAAGGTGGTATTTAGGGGGCTTCCTGCGGATATGGCCGTGTATAAAATCGAGGATAAAAATTTAGGCTTTACGGTAATTAAAGTTGTACAGATGTTTAGACTGAGAACGAAGAAAACTCATTCCTTTGTCAAATTAAAGCTCACTTCTGGTACTGAACGCATTTACGAGATTACCAAATTCTACATTTCAACATATTTGTTGTTCCTTAAATAAAGTTAAAGGCGGTGTGGTTCAGTGCTACAATTTCCAACACTTTAACCACTTCTCTGAAGTATGCAAATTAAAGCCTAGATGTGTTAAATGTGCGGGCCAGCACAAAGCTGAAAATTGTGTCGTTAAAAAATTGAACTTGATTAAGTGTTACAACTGTGGTTTAACTGGCTACACGACAAATTTTCGTGGATGTGCTAAATTCCCCAAATATTATATACTTAGTATAAATTCGATGACAAAGTATACTTCTGAGAATATAACCAATTCTAATGTAAACATATTAACTATAGGCATTTCATATCTGGATGCTGTTAAAAAACAATGCATGTGTTCCTAGGAACGCTCATGATGAAAATTCAAATCAACCTGTAATCTCAGGTATTGGTGATATGTTTAATGCTGTTAAAATGTTTTTAGTATTTTTAATAAATAAGTAAGATTTTTAAACTTTAAACAACGTTTAGTCACCCTAATGTCTAACAACGTTTAGTCATTGAACTGCCTGGCCAATCCCTGCAGCGAATATTCTCACTTTTCAGATAATCAGTTGAACTTATGTGGACGAACGTTTTCGTTCCCTAACAGGAACCACGGACAAACTGCGCCTCTGAAAAGTCTGATCTCCTCTCTATACTCCATAGCAGTCAAGGAACCTTTGTATAATATGTGCAGAGGTGTGCGGCCGTTCAACATAATGCCTGCCAAAACCTTTACACACCGTAATACACCGATTACACCTCCACCACCGTAACGATCTTTTCCCTGATGGGGGAAGGATGATATCGCATTGCAGGCTCTTTCCAGATACAGGTACGCTGAGAATCAGTGTCCAGACTGAATCTCGACTCATCTGTTAAAAATTAAGGTGCTTCACAAAGTCTGGTTCAAGGCGCATGTTATCCGCAACAGGGTAAACGAGCTCTTTTGTGTGATGTAAGTGATCGCGACACTAACAGTGAGTCTTCTGTCATACAGCCCTATATCATAAAGCCTTCGTGAAATTGTAGACATTGTAAATCAGGTTACATACTGCTCACCTGAGAGCTGTGAAGCTGTAAGAGTCCTGTGTATCCACGCTGAAAATGTCAAATAACGATCCTCATTTGTCATTGTGGATCGTGGTCGACCTTGCTTCAAACCTTTATGTAAAAATAGACATAATTCGCAAATTCTCTTAATTTTGCACACGAATGTAATTTTGGGATTCATGGACGAATGCGTAATTTGACAATCCGAGTTGGAGGGAAATAAAATACATTTTTAGTTTAGTTGGCGGTTGCAAACCTTTTGACTTATGCACAAAGTGATTATCTTCGTAACACAGAGACTAACACGCTTTGTTGCACAGTTATGCGTTATGCATGTCATCATTATTCGGCAGCACGTACATTTATGAATTACTATTTTCAAGAGTAAAACACACTAACACTAAAATTAGAACCAGGATATAGGATGAAACCTTGACGGCTTCCTGAGAATGATGCATTAGTTTCTCAAATTCAAAGCCAAATATCACATTAAGTTTATGATTTCTTGTTATATTTGTAATGAAATATTATGTACAAAATGTCAAATACAGTGTCAAAATAATTCTGTATTATTATGTCATTATGTTAAAAATTGTAAAAAAGTAATTACTAAAATATATTTATAAGATTTTTTTTTTTTAATTCTTTCTTTCTTTTACATTAGGGTGGGTTGCTCATCAGCCGTCTTTAGAGCCAGGCAATGACGGCTAGCCAAATGAATCACTGATTCACTTAAAAATTTTCTCTATATGCGTTTTCTCAATATTACACTCTGAGCAAATTTGACTTAGTGCGGTCAAACCCGCACATTTCTGTCATACAGGTGAAATTTAAAAATTTCTCTCAGTGGCCAAATCCGAGCAAAACCGAAAACTTTTTATCAAACCTAGCCCACCAGCGGCCGAGCGGTAACGTCGCTGAACACTGGTAGTTCGGTTCGAGTTTCGAATCCCGCGAACGGGCTGGCTGCATGGGCGTTTTCGTGGTTTTCCCCATGTGTATACGAGCCAATTTCCCTTAGAAAGTCCTCCACGAAGGCATCCCTCCCTTAAGGCAGATAGCCCTCGAGTGCTTTGCCGTAATCTAATAAACCAAACCAAACCTTTTATCAAACCTACGCAGTTATGCGATTCACTTATTTTGGAGGCCACACTAGCTGTCACTGGTGTGAGAAATAATTTGTGCGGCCCGAAATATCTGGTCTTCTTCCAACGTAACCCAAGGAAGCTAAAAGTTTGGACACCTCTGGTTTAGATCTTGTAAATGTACCAGTGTGAAATAAACTGCGTCGCTTTCGCCACAGGGACCATAAGATGAATAATTCCCATGACAAGGCTCGAGTATCTGTTAAAAGATTTTTTAGTGTGCCAGTGTTATTCAAGTTTTATTCACAAACATATTATATATATTCATAAGTTTTATTCACAGTTTTATTCACATGTTTATTTTCATGTTAAAAAGAATTCATTTGAACATTCGTATTACAAATTTATCAAGAATACAAAATGTGTATAATTATTCATACAAATATATATAAATACTCATACAAATTTCAAACAGGTATTATAGGAAATAAATACAGTATTCGAAATGTTGTTGCATTTAATCGTATTTCAAATTGGCAATACCCATTCAAAATGTTACTCAGTTCAAGGGGAAAAGTACCCATTCAAAACGTTACTCGGTTTAATTCCAAACTGGCATTGCAGATAAAATATACTTATTCAAAGTGTTACATTCAGTTTTTCCGAAAATTAAATTATTTTTAGAAATAATTTATTTACAGCAAGTTATTCTTTCACTTTAATTCTACTTTTTAAGAAAATATTCGGTTCTCAGCTGATGGTATTAATTAGAAACTAAACCATTCTGAACTAAGGTTTCGTCCTGAACACAACGCACTTCTCTTTTGCTACTCTTGCCGTGCTGCTCTCTTCTCGTCGAGCAATATAAAAAATGTAAAGGTTACGTTCTTGGCAGACACGATTGGTGTGCCAAATTATTTATGACCGAAACTAATAATTAATATTAAAATTAATATTTCAATTTGTCACGTCTTCAAGCTTCTTCAAGTAGTGCCGTATTATCTGCCATTAAAGAATCTGTATTATTACTCACATATATAATAATTTTTTTTCAAGTATAAATTCTTCAAAAACATTATAATATGAAATGCAGTTAAGAAGCTATAAAACATAATTTAACTGTATGAGATTTATTTTTCTAAAATATTGTTGCTTTTTTTTTTTCTGACACCAGTTGTTGCGTTATGTTCTTCCTTCACGTTCGTACGGGGTTCGTATGGATTTGGAGTGAATAATGAGTATCGAAACACACTTTATTAGCCAGTATTATCAGGACAGTTCCAAAACACGTTTTACAGTCGTCGATGAGCTACTATAAACACGCTGACACGATCGGTATATTCGGTTCTCAGCTGATGGTAGAATGCAGTTTCACACAGCAACTGCATTCTACAATGCAATTGTAGTCACGGTGGAGACAGCTTCACTGCAAAGCACCAGAGTACAGCTCCCGACTCTGCTTGGTCGCATCCACGTACTCTCTAGACTCTCCATGCTACAACTCGCAATGCACTCGATGATACATAAGAGTATAGCTCTCGACTCAGCACAGTCTAAGACAAAACTCGACGATGCACTAACTCGCGATACACTAAAGACTCTCTCAATGCACTCGACGACCAACTCGGCGCTAGACTTCGAGACACTCGCTCAATGACTGACTATCAGCTCGCCAGACGAGGCACACACTCTCGCCCTCTCGACGAGGCACACTCTCGATACTAACTCTCCGCGTACCAGCAGGTTTTCTGTATCTTTTGGCTGGTGTTCAAGAACATTCTGGGCTAAACCGGTAAGAATTCGTTCCAGAAGATTCTCCATCCGCCCATGGCATATCGCCAATTTTGTAGACGATTTCTCGTCAAATGTGGCAACCCTGCCTTCCCTTTTCATTTTATGGCAACCCTAAAACTGCTTTGCGGGGAAGCCATCTCACCGCGCCTGTACATTTCGTAACAATATCATTAATTGCTACAAAAATGATAGAAATATCTCTTTCTTTCTATTCAACAGTTATTAAATATTAAAACAGTTTAATTAAATTTTTGTTTTATACTTGAATTCAAGTAATAATTCATGTCCCGTAGTATTTAAAATTTTTAGCTTTAAAAAACATTAGCTGGTAAATTTAAAAGGAATAGAAATAAATTCAGAAATCTAGTAGAATTATAAGAAAGTTTCATTCTACTTTCAAGCGTTTCAGATGTCTTCTGAAGTATGAGATAGGTATCTCAATAGTAAAAAGTATTTAACCTCTTTATCTTTCAAATAAATGTTTAAAGTATGTTAGAAATACAGCAAACAATAGACATTAAAATACACTCTTCTTCGCGTTTAAACTAATGATAAGACCATGTAATCATATTTTTAAAGCTAAATTTGAGTGGGAAGTCAAAATAACAATTGAAAACTGATATTTCTCGTGATAGTAACTCTTAGATAAAGAAAACACGTTTCAGCACTTGCATAAATGATAGCTGGCATTTCTTTAGACACCATTTAGAATAAGTCTACAGTTCAAAAATAAGGCAACAGTTCGAATCATGACGGATTTGTCAGTTGCAATCATTACTGGTGGCGCTCAGGGACTCGGAGCAGCCATTGCAAATGCTCTACTTAAAAACGGCTACAAAGTAAGTTAAATTAAAAATCATAATCTTTCTTAAATTATACAGCGAAGTTATTTATTGTGATGTTTTATATAGCTAATAATGTTATTCAAACAAATGCTGTTTTAAGAGAACTATATGATTTATTCATGCTAAATATTTCAATAAATTAAAAGAAGATTGGTGTTGGCTTATGTGCAATAGAAGACTATTAGTTTAAAATCTAAAACTAAGCAAAATTCAATCTTAGATTATGGTTAGTTTTATAGGAAACACTGCATTACTAAGAACATAGCGCATGTCTTCCTCCAAATACGAATTTTCCTAGGAAAGTCAGTTAGGGGTCAAATTTTAGCAACATAAATTTCTCCTACCAATTTCTAAATTTTGTGATAATTTTCTCTTTTTAATTAATCATATAAGCCTTTCAGATTTAAAAAGCTATATTTTTACCCTGAAGAAGATTTTCATGTGAATTTATTCTTAAAATTTAGTTCTGAGTGAATTTTTAAATTTGAAAATCTCATTTTAAGCAGATATTTTACTGAGCGAATATAAGGCAAAAAGTGCTGTTTTTTGTCTGGAATATTATCATTTCTCTACACTGAGACTGTCTCTGTCTTCTCGGGAAAGTGACTGCAATAGGTTTAGTATTTTACGTTGTATTTTAACAACTATTGTGTTGTCATATCATGCAAGTGGGAAGAAAGAAACTGAAATGAATCACGGAAAGTTTTTCAACATTGAACGCCTGGTGCTATAGGCTTATTACTGATTAAGTATTTAACCACTCTATTAGGAATTTAGACCTAAGGGTTGACATTTTTGAGAATCATGCTAATTATCACGCATACAGTAAGACACCCCGCTGAACGCTGTTTCGTTTAGCGCTGTTTCGGTTTAGCGCTCTTTTATTTCAAACCGGGGATTCCACGAAATCGCTCGCAGCATACGGGGATTCCCCGAAATATTATGCAGCGATAGGTTTCAAATACATATCCGAAAGAGTGTACTTGTATTTCTTGTTTGGTGCGGTATTGTACAGACATATTTTGAAGGGGTAAATGTGGAAGATGTCGAAGAAATAATTCAAGAAGCAGCGGTTAGTCTTTCTAAAGATGAGCTCAAGGAATTAACTGAACAAGAAGAAAACAAAAATGTTGACACAGCAGTGATTCAGAAGAAGAGCAAAAAGAACTTTCGATGGCGTTTGTAAAAGGAGTTCGTCTACCATAACTGAAATAATGGATCAATCATTCATTGAAAATGATCCGAATTTTGACAGGAGCTCAAAAGTAAGGCGTAGTGTTAGAGATGCTCTATCCGTTTATGAAGAACTTTTAAGAGAACAACGCAAAAGAAAAAGGCAACAAAATTAGATGCTTTTGTCACAAAAGGCAGAACACCGAAAACGCGGAAGGCTAACTAAATATGACTGACTGAGAATTTTATTTGGTTTTTTTTTTTAAGATTATTCGTTTTGTTATTTATATTTTGTTTTTATTTTTGCAAGAAATAATAATGTGGTATTAATTTGGGCTTTAAGAAATAAATGTTTGGTTTTATTTTTATTTAAAAAACATACTTTTTAAATTTAATACCTAACCAATTTCCTAGCCATCTTCCCCTAACCCCAATATTTACATGTAAAGATAGCCTCGTTTAGCGCTGTTTCGCATTACGCTCTACTTTGATGGAACGTATCCCCCGCGTTAAGCGGAGTCTTACTGTATTTGGGAAGAGTAAAGCTGCCGTGTTAACCTGTAGCGCTTGTGGCGCCATCTGATGAGCGTTAGCTTAATAACTTGAACACGTTTCTAAAAAATAATGAAGACCCATTTGGAAATAAATTACACAGAGTGCCAATCTATAGCAATTATATTTCAAAATAAGATGGGGAGAAAACATACTTTTGAGATAAACCCATGAGAACTGAATACATTTGCTAATTCAGTTGATAACAAACATATTTCAATATTTACGATCCAAATCTTGAACTGGCGAGCACGATATGTTATGAGAACAGTAGGGTTCTTTGCCCTCACAAGTCCGTTACCTGAAATGCACTCAGAACCATTTAAGAATAGACTGAGAAAGATAGAAACATAGCAGGGAAATGTGGTTTTTGCAGAGAAGACCATGTGGGTTCTTACAGAGGGTGTCCACGGTAAACCCAAAACATGAAAGAAATCGCAACAAAGACTGCAGCCTCTTTCAAAGACATATAAGCATTCTTTTTCTACGTATCCAATCGACTCCAGTGGCAAAAGCCAAATAGGAATGAGCAGGTTTCAGCCTGTGAGAAGGAATCGCAATCATTTACATAGTGGATAAAAAATATACTATTCAAAGCTAAATCATTTGTAGAAAAAATTTAAACGTATTAACTCACTAATGGGAAGAATAGAAATTGTAAAAGAAGACACTGAGTTTTTGACAGAATTTAATTACGAATTCTATTCAAATTAACAGCTTCTCCCGTTATCAAGATGCGGGAGAATGAATCCTAAGTACAGTGTTCTTTAATGTCAATAGCATTAAATGTCAAGAATTGGAAATTCGTAATTCCTCAACAAGCATGACATTATATCATACTTGTAAACAAGACTCCATGCGATAACCTTCGTATACACGGATTTAAAGTTTTGCGAAATAATCTAATGCACAACAGAGGAGGCGGCACTGCTGTCCTATCCAAAGACTTAATGCGCTACCCCCTTGTATGATCTCAACATTACCATCAGTTTTGAAACAACAGCCGCAGGCATTCACAATAAACATGAAGACCCCCCTCAATTTTGTGTGGGCTTATAATCCTTCATGCCTGAGACTTTAATATTGCATAAGATTTTAATGTCTTAATCCCACTTGGAATTCAGGGGTACCAATATCAATTGAATGACTATAGATAATTATGGCATAAATGTCATTGGACCAAGTAATCCCCCTCGAAATTATTATGCAGGTACCACAGAAGTTCTTGATATTGTGAACATAAATCATATCAACCGAATTCCTTACCGGAAAGGGCGTAATGAACTGTTTTCAGACCACCTTCTAGTAAGATTCTCTTATTGTGGGTTTGATCCACCAAACTTCAATCCCATTAAAATTATTGAATGAAAAAATTTCAAGCAGAATTTACAAAATATAGATGCAAACGTAGTGGTCAGCAAAATTGCGGAAAATTGGATCAGCATTTTCTGATTTTAATATCAGAGATGCAATGCATCGTTCTACGAGGCTAAAAATGTATAGTAACCGCGGTACTTCTCCAACTTATATTCTTATATCATCAAAGAAAAGAACAGAACTGCTAAGTGCTGCAAAAGAACTCATGACTCCGAACACAAAAGACATCTTAATAGAAGAGCACATGAAATTCTGACACTAATTGCAAATTGCAGGTTTTCCAAGTGCGACGAAATACTTAACATGTATGGATTATGAGCTGAATAATGTCTGGGGATTTCCATGCCCTTCAGGAACACTAATGCTTATCACATGTACATCAAGAATTGAAGCCTCTTCGGATGAAGATATCGAAAGTTATGGCAAGTGAGGTTGAAGGTAACTTCATTTCTAATCCAAGTTTTGATCAAGAACATGAGAAAAAAATTGAATGCTTCCACGAAAGCTTATTTCATATGGGCAGTTACAAATATACTTTGCCCTCCTCCAAATGAAATCAAACCTCCAAATGAAATCAAAGACAACCTCCAAATGAAATCAAAAATGAAAAACAAAAAAACCTCCAAATGAAAAACAAAAAAAACCTCCGAATGAAATCAAAGACACATTTAAACGTCTTAACCTGAAAACGTATAGGGTATTGACCTTATCAGTTATCGTGTTCTAAAAGAACTTCGCGGGAAGTATTTAATTCTTCATATCAATATAATTAAAGGAAACCTGCGCTTCAGTTATTGTCCTTCTCAATGGAAGCATGCCATCGTAATTATCTTCCTGAAGCCTGGAAAGAACTCGTAAGAGCCTTCGATTTATATACCAATTAGCCTACATCAAAGCATGGTTATAGTATATGAAAGGATCCTCCATACTCGCTTTATTCGGTACCTTAAAGACACAGAGACAATGGTTTCAGAAGAGGACAAAGCACAGTTCATAAAATTCTTAACATTACTGAACATATAGTTGATGCCTTAAAAAGACTGCTGTTGCGACAGTGTTTCTTGACTTCGAGAAGGCATTTGACCGACTATTGCATGCCGTTCTCGTTACAGAATTGAAAGGAATTAATCTCCCATCAATTTCATAAAATTCATTTCCTCATACCTTAAAAATAGAACACTTCAGTTTCGTGGAAATGGTCACTCAGATGGGAAAATGATAAAGGCAGGAGTGCCCCAGAGGTCAATTCTTAGATCCACACTCTTAAACATTTACGTAAATGATCTGCTCGAGAAGCAAGAACCCAAAAACTGCAAAATGTGCTGGGGATTCTTAGCAAATCAAAGGCAAAAAAAGCTTTGGACTCCCTTAAAATAGCAGTAAATACTGTAACGCACTGGTATAGTCTATGGAGAGTTTAAATCAACCTTTCTAAAAGAAACGTAATCCTCTTCAAAGGCTACAAGGTAGAAAAGACCAGAAGAAAAAAATTCATGTTTTCAAAATAAGATCATTCGAATAGTACTTAATGCCCCCCCGGTCTGTGCGTAATAAACAAATTGATAAGGAATTAAAGATCATGTCATTTCATGATTATCATCTCACAATTCTCATAATGTCTTTAACAAAATAATGAGCTTTGAGTTTAAACATCAATCAAGAATCACACACTACACTACGATCCAGCCATTCAGAATGTGGTGTCAAGATCACGAATTATACACAACTTAAATTTATGAACACAAATCATATGACTCAGCTTTAGTTGAGTAGACTGTAGGACTCGAATAGAACAATAGGTTTGCTTATTCTCACCGAAACTCCTTCAGAATTATGTTACATCAAAATACTAGCTGAATTTGAGTTTTTGAAACGTGCTCCCAAGCTCAAGGATTTGAATTTCAAATATTGAAGTATGTTTATTATCAACTGAATTAACAATTGTGTTTGCATTCACTTCTGATTGTGTTTATGTCAAGAATATGTTATGTATTATTTTCATCTTATTTTACGATATATTTGCTATTACTGATACTCTTAAATTCATTTCCAAATGGATCTTCATTATTTTTCAAGCAACGTGTTTAATTTACTAAGGAAACGCTCAACAGATAGCGCCACAACCCGGCAACCAACGGGTAACCTCGGCAGGCCAAACCTGGCAGCTTTACTCTCGTCACATCCCCGACGCTATTAGTATGATTCTAAAAAATGTCAACGCTTAAGGGCTTAATTCCCAGCAAAGTGGGCGCAGTAATAAGCCCTCAACACTATGCGTTCAGGTGTTGGTATATTTAATTATGGCAAAGCACACTAGGGCTATCTGCCTAAGAGGAGGGATGCCTTCGTGGAGGACTTTCTAAGGGAAATTGGCTCGTATACACGTTGCACATGGGGAAAACCACGAAAACGCACATGCAGCCAGCCCGTTCGCGGGATTCGAACCTCGGACCGAACTACCAGTGTTCAGCGACTTTACCGCTCGCCCACTGGTTGGCCTACTATGCGTTCAGAAGCAATTATTAGTTTAAATAACTCTGTGGTAAAGGGAATGTGTATGAACGGTGGTTTAGACTCCCGATTGAAGCCCAAGTATTTATAATTTAAATTTCAAATTGAGTTGTCTGCAGGGCTTAATTTCTAAGATTAGAAGTGCCGGAACCCTGTGGAAAACCGTCAGCAAAGAGGAATAAGAGTAAATAAATAAATAAAATAACTATTAAACTCATTAATAATTTTTAAAAATATTTAATTATTATCAAATTAATTAATAAATATTTAATTAATGTTTATAAATTGTTATTTAATCCAATGCTTATATCTCCTTAATTAATTATAATTCAATTGAATTATTATAATAATTAATTTTCTTTATTGAATTCCTTAAATCCGTCCCCTTCCCTAAAACTGTCCCGCGCTCCATTGCCTTTTCCTAAGTGATTTTCCTCTAAGTTTATTGTTTCCCCTCCCCTCTTCGAGAAAAAAATTTCTACGAAATTGTTATTCAATTACATAAAAGAAGTGCCGCAGCCTTCTTATTCAGTGCTCCGGTGCGTTCCGGCTAGAATTATGATTTATTACAAAAACTAAGAAGCCGATATCCGGTGGGCTCCGGCCCTATTTAAGCTCTGATCGTGGGTAGAAACAAAAAATGAGAGGAATCTTGGTAAGAGAGAGCGTTCTCTTTGACCGCGGCTCTCTGCTGATATAATTATAGCCATCAAGCAGATGTGTGTCAAGGATAAAATAAGTCCTGAATCTGACTTCTAAGGATGAATGTAAAGTTGCTGGTTAAGTTTTCCCCCCATTAGTGGATACTGTGGGAAGACGATGTTTAGGACGTGCTTGAGCAGTTTATCTCAGTATTTCACTCTAATTGTACTTGCTGTCCATTAACGCACATTTAAGAACACAAATTTTCCTTCGTGCGAGGGTAACTAACTGTAACCATCGATAACAATACACTAGATGCCATGGCGAGAAATTTACGTGTTCCTAAACAAACTTCACCGAATTTATTGCTCTTCTTAAAGTGAAAGGTTTCCGCATGTGTGTGAAGGGACTTTACTTGAACGCCTCATGTTCTCATGAGTTTGTATTTCTAGGGAAATAGTAGAATATTGCAAGGTCTGCTTATTGTTAAACTAAAATGTTAGGAATTCTAAATTTTGTTGTCTTTTAATTTAGGGTTCAGTTTTATAAAAAGAAGTACCGGAGCTCACCTTATTTAGGGCTCCGTTGGGCTTCGGCGTAAAGCACTGGTTGTCTGATTTAGGAAACGATTGCTTTAAACTTGCTTTTATAGCATAAAAGTCTGAAAAGTAGTTGATAGTTGGCTTGACATATTAAGAATCAATTAATTTTAGCATTAACCAAGTTGAACTTTATTCGCTGTCATCAATATTGATAGCCTATATCTTAAATCCTTTCACGAATATTGGGTAATAATATTCCAGAAAACATTAAAAAATGTTTAATCGGGACAAAATTAGCTTATATCTACTTTAGATTCCTCCTTTGTGTTAGTACTTTTAAGAAACTACACTTAAGTCAGATTTCATTAAATCTGTACTGGGTAAAATTCGAACGTATTATACAATGCAAAATAATTGCAGTCATGAAGTAGAAATTCAATTAGTAGTGAAAGAGTTAAAGCAAGGCAATGAGCGTTCCAATACAGTGACTGATTGTAATGCCGTAGAAGATGACTTCACATTTCAGGCATAATAACACATTATAAAACTGATAACGTTTAAAACAAGACAAATTTATAAACTTGTATTAAATTTCAGTTACTCTTTATGACGCAAAGAAAGTGCAAGAATTAAAATACGTGTTCCATCTGCGGTTTCATGAACGTGAAGTGTGCTTGGATGAAAAATGTCAAATAATTACATGGAACGGATAAATTAGGCCCTCATGTATGTATAGTAGTGAATTTAAAATATATTTTTAAACACTGAAATTATCAAATTACGGAATTAAAAAACAAGAAATTAAATATAAAAGTCTTAACAAATACCATAGTTACTTCATATAAAGTAATACATACGATAGTATATATGGTTGCGTGCGTACGGGTTCGCAGTAGACTGAATGCACAGGTCTGATGATAGGTTAATAAAATTGATTTTTCATCAAAAGAACTATTTCAGAACTCTGGAATTTTCCACAGAAATATTCGTACAAGTATCCAGAGTATCACACCATACAATCAGTAGTTACACTTAAAGTTAAACTAATCAACTAGTAATTTAAACTATAGTTAAATAATATTAGCTAATAGTTAAACTAATAAGAACGTTAAACACAACGAATGCAAAGCGCATCTAAAGAGAAAGATAACCCGATCTCACGCTGAACTCGCAACAATAACAACAGCAGCTAACTAAACAAACTGAGAGCAGATGCTCTCTCTTTGGCCATAATAAATAGTTTTCAACTAGCCGCCGAAATGTTTTTAATACTTTCTGCTTTGAATCGCCATAAGCTAATTACAAAAAATTAATATTATTTTCTTTATTATTAAGGTTTGCATAGCTGACATTAACGAGCAAACAGGCCAGAAACTAGTTGCTGAACTAGCAAAATGTTTTGGACAAGAGAAAATTTTCTTCGCTGTATGTGATGTTACTAAAGAATCAGATTACAAAAGTAAGATTTCCAAAAAACTCTGCCTTATGCGTCATTATGCAAAGGGGAGGGTCTTGTGGCAGATGTGTTTTTTATTCTCGGTGTATTTATTTGTACAGTATTTTCCAAATTGTTCTGAAAAGGCAATGATGGAATGAAATTGCGTAGAATGTTTTTGTATTACTAAAAAGATTTTGGATCTTGTATGACTGAAAGTGTTCGCAGTAATGTAAATTACATATATTGTATTAATGGTAATAGTTAATAAGCCATTTTAACGTTTTTTTTTTTTTTTTTTTTTTTGTTGTTGTTGTTGTTGTTGTTTTTTCCATTAATTGCGTTTGTTGCTCCCAAGTTTACCTGAAACTCCGCAGATTCACACTTCAAGCTTAGAAAGTAATATTTTGATAGCTTCCTTAGTTTACTTCTTTCGTGATTCGAACACATGGGATAAAATGTGCGGCGGCAGCTCCAAACAGGCGATGCAAAGGCAAAAACCCTAGAGAAAACCGCCAATGGACGAAACAGTAAACAAAAAAAGTAAACCTGTATGGCAACCCTACACCGGTTTGCCGGGGAAAGAAGAGTTCTCTTCGTCATTCTAGTTAGTCTGTGTATAACACTTCATCCTGTGTAACTAACTACTTCAGTCTTGTGCCTTCACCGTGATATGCAAACTTCGGCATCCTGTGTTGCCTGTGTTGGGACCATGCTCTTTCTTAAGCCGTTATAAATCTATCTATATTACTCTTCCTTATTAAATTTCATTACTAATTGCATATGCCTATCTCAATTAAGATCGCTTTTTATCTAGGTAATGTTATCAATACTTTTGTAGGCACGCGAGTACCTTAGATACCTCTGAAAGTGGTATTATTTTCCCATCTGATAACATTTTACGTTTTTTAATTAAAATTCGTATTCTGGAAATTTACTTGATTTGATAAATGAGATCAGCTTTATAGGTCATGAAGCACAAAGAGTATTTAATTAAAGTTCCAATTTTAAAACGCTTTAAACTAAAACTATTGCTCACAATGATCTGAAATTTGATCTGAATGAGAAGTAACAGAATTTTCTTTCACCAAAAAAAAAAAAAAAAAAAAAAAAAAAAAAAAAAAAAAAAAAGAGTACTTTGAAAATGTACCGGATAGATGTCTCTATACTTGTCAAGCACATGAGTGCTGCTCATCGAATGGGAACTACAGTTAGCTGGTGGGGAGAGAAAATGACAATTTATTAACAATTCACGATTTAAAAATTCCTGGCAACATCACGAAGAAGAAAACACTAAACAAGCACTAATAACTAATGCAAGAAATATTCAATCTACTGTCCTCCGTATTTTGCTGCAAGATCAAAATGAAAAACTGCAAGCTCCATAACAGTGAGGAGTACATCGGTTGTGCTGTTGTAGATTCAGTGCGTGCCTTAAGTCAATCATGTCTGCGGTTCGACCGGCGTTTAGGTGACCTCAAAGTCAGAAATCGGAAAGACCAGAAGAACATGACGGCCAGACTGTTCTGAAATGACAGCTGATAGTTCTGATATTTTTGAAAGGGTTGTTTAGTGGCTGCTTTACTTGTATTACAACTTGCGGAAGAGCTTATCTTGCATAAAAAAAAACGTCATGCGCAAAAGAGATTTATACCATTTGTCACTTTACGCAACAGGTAATAGGACCCGTAGGACCTACCTCCTCAAAAAAGAATGGCTAGCGAAAAAAGCTGCCATAAATCTACTCACACAGTGATCTATGCAGAACGAAGAGGCAATGGTTGCAGTGGGAATAGATTCTCACTCATCTATATTCTGAAACTTTGCGTATTAAAACCCTTGGAGAGGGAAAGAGACTTAGTCTGTTTGCAAAATGTGATTCGTTGCCCACTTTCATCGAACAAGAAGTTATAGGACGAAAGGTATCGGTTATGTCAAGTTAGCAGGAAGCAACTCCTGAACATCTATAATTTTGTGAGGATAACGCAGGACGTTTCGCAAACTTTAATGGATCGTGCTAATAGGCGTGCCTAACGATCGGTCAATTTTTGGTGTACTGTAGATTCCCACACTACTGTTTGTCTTTTCCTGCAATGTTTAGTCACACCTTCCACTAAGCAATTGCTTTCCTCCATCTGCAAAATTTGACATCTAATAAAGCGGTCTCTTCGGATTTGAGAACAATATTCGATATACTTGCAGATATCGGGCCAGATTTTAAATACTTTAATATCTGAAACTTCCTAAGAGTAGTTCCCACACAATCATTGTTCTGATAAAAAAAAAAGTGCTTCAGAAAGCAACCATTCAGTAATAGAATAATGCTCGACAAAGGAATAGGAAATATGCGGTGCATTTTAATGAATTCATTTCAAGCATGATCCAGCGTCTAAATTTTTATCATTCGGCAAACCAAGTTTCTGTGTTTTAGGAGAACAGTATTATCTACAGGTGCATTTTGTATTACCTATAGTATTTATTTTCTTTTCCCAAATAAAATTCTATTGCTTATTGTATATTAGGTCAACTTTCAGATCGCTCTGACCAGTGTTTTTTTACTTTACCTCTGAAAACGTAACTTAATTACAATTAACCTACCTAATTACATTTAAAAATGAGTCTAAATATGGGTCTCAATCACGAACAGTAATTTACACATTTAGCTTTGTGGAACTCTTTTAATTCCTGCATACATTATTCGTTCATACATTATTCTGAACCAGTTGTGGTTCAGAGATTGCAGCATTCAACGACACAACTTCCTGAAACTGTCTTCATACTGATCTTCGTGAGCTAATTTTCAATCCTCTATGGAATATGACAGGCGAATTGGGGGTATCCAAATTAATCGAGGTCTGAAGCCGGTTAGACACCATTTTTAAGTCAGACTCTAAGACCTTTAGCTGATGGTTTCATCCTTGGTATTTGTCGATAAAGGGCAATTACGGTTCCTTAATCAAACTGCTTCTCACACAGGCCAGTACAATTACTATTCGCTGTTCGAGGGAGACGAACAGCGAATTCTTTCTGACGCGATGTGTACAAAAGTGTTGAATAGGAAGGCAAAGCCGGGATGTTGCTATTTAGAGACATCAAGCAGCCAGACAAACGGGTAGTTTATAGATAACAAGGGGCTACGGATTGTTTAAGAGAGTGGCACTGATATGCAGGCAGGTTATTTACCCATGGCTCACCCTGTATAAATGTGTGTGCTTATTAACGTTTTACACGTAAGTCATGGGTAGTCTGAAATTTCTAAGTATCTTTTGAATTTGAATACAGTTTAGAAGTAGTGTTTCTTTAGTCTTTGTTTCTTGATTGTTTATATAGTCTTACCTCTGAAAGCACATAACCGTTTGTAGGTCTTTGATATTTTTCCCTGACAGAAGTCAAAGGAACAAAGTAAACGGACTTTACTCAGCGAATAATAGCGATTATTGGAATAAAAGGGTCAAAAATGATTTACAAAGTCATGGAATTAGACTTTGTGCATAGTATACTTTCGTTTGTGGAAACCACTGGAACCCGCGGATAGTACGTTTAATGAATGTAACCGAAAAACCAGATGAATCATTCCTTAATTCAATAAAAGGAACTGAGATCCTTGTGGCAATATGCTTGAGGTGTTCTTCTGTACGTCAGCTAATATCTGCATGTGTGTCTCGATATTTCTTGGCAGACGTCCATCTGGCGATAACTTTTAATATGTGTTATATATGCAGTCAGTAATGGAATGCAGAATCACATGTAATTACATTTTAGTTTGGATGAAACTGCAACGGAAACCCAAGCAATGCTATAAATCCTATATCGAGAAAGAAATTTATCTCGAAAGACAGTATATGAGTGTTTGAAACTTTCTGCGAAGTGCAGGAAGCTATTAAAGATAAGCATCGACGCCGAAGATCGAAAATGAGCAGATTGGAGAAATATATCGAAAGGATTCTTGAGCTATTTATGCGGGATAAGCACTCCTTGTGAAATCATTGTAACCATTATCACAAATTTGGTTAAACACAGAATTTATGTGCCTTTTGTCTCTCATCACTTAACCGAAGAACAAAAATAACGCAAAATGGAAATTTATCGGAACCTCACCTTCGTGGTAAATAGTGATGTCCTTTTTTTATAACCAGTCGTGAACGGAACAGTAACAAAGTGTTTCCTGCACTATCCAAAAACGAAAGGCTAAAGCACGAAATAGCGCAGGCTCTTATAGACGAAATCGAAATATTTCGCTTCCAAAAGTGAAACGCAAAGACAATGTTTGTTACCTTTTACGATGTGCATGCCTAATGCAAAAAATATACGTATCAGAAAGCCAAACAGAGAACGGAGATTTTTAAAACTGTGAGGTTCTTTTAATCGGCTCTTGCTTCCTATTGGCAGCATGAGGGTACAATACACTGAACTAGGATCTTGGTTTCTTTTATAAAACAGCAAGTGACCTCATGTTGCTGTGCGTATTAAATAGTTCTTTGCTATCTGCCAGGTTAACTGGATTCTACCATTCTCCATATTCTCCTTATCTTTCCCCAAGAGGTTTCTTTCCGGAAATTCAAATCTGTACGAAAAAGGCATAGATTTTCCGGCATGTTACAGACCCAAGCTATTTTCACAAGGAAACTGAAAGTAGTACCGCATAGAGGATTTTCTCCAGTATTCCTAACAATTATGCGCATGTTGTCAGATGGGCATTATATCATAGAAGAATCGTTCTATGGCCAGTGAGATATATCCGTTCAAATATTTTACTCTGTTATATATCTATGATTATGCGCCTTCAGTTTCGGTCAAATTTTGGATTTGAATTTTTACCTGCCATGTTCATTTTTACATAATTTAATATTCATTTAGAAACTTTATTTTTATGTTTTAGAACTTTTTTATTTGACTCTTGAAAAATTTAAGAGAATTGATGTCTTAATTAATAATGCTGGAATCATCGCAGAGAAGAATCCTAGGAAAGTTTTAGATGTTAATGTGGTGAGTATAATTTTTTATTTTAATACAAGAGGTTACAAAATATAACGGACAATGTAACTGTACTTTCGGAGAGCTGGTGTCCTCTTCACTTAATATCAAACTCATTTAAAGCAACGTCATGCCCAATCGCAAAAAGCATCTTCGATGACCGACGTCATTTTTTTAAACATTTTCCCAAAAGATTACTTGATTTATTTTTGCTTTAAGACATTTAGTCTAAATTTCGTAAATTATTTTGTATTAAGAAACTTTTAAAAAAAAGCAATTTTAATGAAACAGTAGAATTTCAGATTTTATATTACGCCCAAAGGGGGCTTTTTTTAACGTTTTGTGCGTTATCTTTATTTATTAAATACCATGTTCTTCGCACTTAAATCATAAAATTCAATTCAACAGCAATATCCCAAAATTAAAAAGAGTATATCTTTAGAATTTCTGATACACAATCTCGCGCACTGGAGATTTAAAAATATTTTCCGTACAGTAATTGCCATTGCTTGCTTTAAAACCATTGAGTTTGTTAATCAAAAATTCGTTAAAGTTTTACAAAGTATGAAAGAATGAAATAATGAATATAAAATAAATTCCAGATTCCAAGTTCGGGGTTCCAGCTGCCAATATTCTAGTGGAGGACAACTTATTGAAAATTTGATATCTCTGGGTACTGTTGTTTTTTCGCAATGCGAGAAACATACATACTTTAATGCAGATTCTTTATTATTTAATTTCTTTAAATACACTGCTCGACATTGAAAATGCAACAGCAAGAATAAATAGTTAGAAATTTATGCAAATTTTAGAGTAGATGCATGTCACTGAGTTATGCGAATGATGTGAAATGCGCAGCTCTCCGACGCACGTGAAGTAAGATATAAGGGAAGGAACGTGCAGAACGGGCAATATTCGTGTCGTTATTTCTTCCAGACGAATTATTGAAGAAAGTTAGTTTTTGTCCCGGAGGATACGTCTAATAGGAGAGAATGGCCAGGCATCAGTCGTCAACGAAGGCACTTCCAGCCAGATAGACGATTTTACGAGGGGTATGGTGATCGGACTGAGAAGGGCGGGTTAATCCTTACATCAAATCGCAGCTGATACCTACATGGATGCACGAACGATGCATTGCCTATGGCGAACATGGTTGGAACAAGGAAATGTGGGAAGAAGGAGGGGTGCAGGGGCAGCCAGAGTGACGTCAGCACGCGTGGATTGAAGCATCCGCTGACAAGTTGTGGCGATTCCGCAAGTCACTTGTACTGCGATTCTGCAGCATGTGCAAGATACCCTGGATGTTCCCGTGTCGACCAGAACCATTTCCCGTCGATTGGTTGAACGTGGCCTGCACTCACGGCGTCCGTTAAGACTGCCATTGACCCCACAGCATAGACGCTAACATTTAGAATGGTGCCGGACTGGAGCGATGTGGATGACAGAATGGCGAAACGTCGTGTTCTCAGATGAGTCACGCTTCTGTTTATCCAGTGACAGTCGTCGCATATGTGTGTGGCGTCGACGTATGTGTGTGGCGTCGACAGATCTAATCCGGCAGTAACTGTGGAACGCCCCACCGCGCGACAACGAGGCATAATGGTTTGGGGCGCTATTGCCTACGATTCCAGGTCACCTGTAGTTCGTATTCAGGGCACTGTGACGGCCCAACGATACTTGGATAATGTACTGCAGCCGGTGGCAATCCCGTACCTTCAGGGGCTGCCTAATGCAATTTTTCAGCAGGATAACGCCCGACCACACAGTGCTCGCATCTGCCAATATGCTCTGCAAGGTATACAGATGCTACCCTGGCCACCGTACTCTCCTGACTTGTCGCCAATCGAAAATGTGTGGGATGTGATTGGACGCCGTTTGCAGACTCTGCCCCTGCTTCGTTCAGAAGACGAACTGTGGCAAATGGTTGAAAGGGAATGGAGAGCCATCCCTCAGAACACCATCCGCATTCTTATTGACTGTATGCCTAGACGTGTTTCTTCGTGCATCACTGTCCGCGGTGGTCCTACGACGCCGTTCTCGCTCTGCATTCTGACTATCATTTTGAAATAAAGACTACTTATTGCTGCTTGCTGCCTCTGTCTTTTTTCCAAATTTCATCACTTTCTGACCAGTCCTTCTTGGTGTTGCATTTTCAAATGTCGAGCAGTGTATAATGCAGTGCTCTAATATTTGGTGCCAACAATTTGAAAAGTGAACCGACATTTTATAGTGAATCAACGCAAAATTCCAAAACTAAATTAATAGCTCTTCTGGGTTAACTCCCTTTGGGCTAACAAGATAATGTTTTCCAAAATTAGCCATAACTGTGTTTGCTGCTAATGCGATTTGCTATTCATTTTTTCCAAAGAATTTTATAAAACATACAAGGTGGTCATAAAAAGACTTCCTCGATATATGAATCCCAAGAAATTTCAGATATTGTTATTTGAAGGTATGCGCTCAAACAATAAATCTCTTACAGTTACGGTTACAGTGAAACATTTCGAAATTTTCTAATAGCAACATCCATTTTTTTCTGTGCAAATTGATCAGCGCATTGAAAAATCATAAATGGCATTGGAACGGTACACGTTACATGTATGACGAAAAATGCCAGCGTAAAGCATTTGCGAAGAAGAGCGTTGTAAAGAATAATGAAAACACAAGACAGAAGGAAAAAACTTTAATCGGAATTGCAAATTTTCAATCTGTACATTTCGAGATAGAATCATCTTCCGTAATCTGTAACTGTCATTCCCCGTAACTGTTTAGCGGTGAGGGCGACCTTTCTACTTTGTTATTTGCAATATTTAAAAATATTCCTTTGATCAAAAACAGAAATAAAAACTCGTAGAAAAATAAAATCTTTAGAAATAATAAAGAAACTGCCGACAGTATTTTTTTTAATTCAAGTCAAATGCAATGGGCTGTAGATATGCGTTGAAAGGCTTCTGTAAAATATCATCATAATTCTAATTTTATTTCTCTTTAAAGATGGGTCCAATCATTGGTTGCCAAACTGCTCTAGAATATATGGGTAAAAGCAAAGGTGGCAAAGGTGGTATAGTGATTAATACTGCTTCTCTTGCTGGTAAGTGACCAAAACAATTAAATTAAATGGTGATTTTATTTGTAAATTTTCTCTTATGCTTTAATATTGAAACATTTATTATAAGCATTATATGATTTTCAAGTAACTGTATAAGTATATTTATTATAAATATATAATTGATAAAATGCCTGAACTCGGAAGAATAAAACCTGAATAACAACTTTTACTACACATATTTTACAGATGAGATCTCTACAGTCTTCTTTAGTAAAAAGAAATGTAACCCTGAACTGCAAGTCATTTTAAAAGAATTAAAAAGAAGAGATTTTTGTTTACAGGCCTATTTATATAGAGACCATGTTTCAATCTATTACTATTGTATTAAGTACTGAATTAGGGTGTCGAAAATATACAAACAAGAAAGAACATTATTCGAGTTTTTGTATAGTACACTTCCAAGCGTTCCTTGTCAGTAGTGCATGCAACATTGAATTGATAATAACCTACGTTTCTATGAAAATATCAGGGGTGACAGAAAGCACAATAGAAAAAATAATGTATTTCAAGACCTCTTAGCTATCTTGAACAGTTTATGCAAACTGTGCCCTACAGTAAAAAATGAACGCGGAATAAGATCGTTTGATCGATAAATAATAATAATGTGTAATATCCATGATGGCTAAGTAATCGGTCCTCCACGTTCAGTGCATCGTTTAGTAAAAACAACATTAAGAATTGCGTGAAAGAAAAAAATTGTAGAAGAAACCGATAGTCTCAAAAATGCTTGAAAACAATATATATATATACTATATAATTAAATATAATGATTTGGGAATGGCGCGGATAGATGTTGAAGCATACATAGCAAATCCGGAATGAAGAAGATATTTGGAGGTCCTATAGATGCAATAATATGCAGTCGTAGCAGATTTAAATCACATTTCTTTTATTGCAGTTAAACATTTTAGGGCCACCATTCACTACGCACATGAATCGTGCCTGTTTCAAAGGAGTTACATTTTAGATATTGTTGCGAAAGGAAGAAGAGCATCAAGCAGCGTCTCAGCGAGAACAGAGATAGAAGCAAATTGCGCATTTATCCAGTATGGCAGCTTATTAAGAGAAAGTTTAAGTTCCTACGCCATCAACGTTACTAAGCCATATATGGATCAGTGGCGGCTCGTAGCTAAAATGAGTGGGGGTGCTGTTCCAAAAAAAAATGTAATCTTTGTTTTAAAATTGTGTAAATGGAAACTAACATGTATAAAAATAAAATTTATTTTGAAACTTCATGAAATCTTACAAGGAAAAAATAAAACATTTTTTAATTACTTTAACCTAAATTATTACAGTTCAAACTTTATGTAGTCATATAAAAATGTAACCCATTCTTCTTATTTTAATTTGCGCGAAAAGATGAATAATTTTCGCCTTGATCTCTCAATGACAACTGAGGAAATTTTTCTTTATTGAAAGCAATACTAGGGCATTTAGTCTTTCTGAATTCCTAGTGTTTCTTAGAAAAGTTTTCTTTTCTTTTTTTTTCTTTTCTTTTCTTTTCTTTTTTTTTTTTTTTTATCAGTGTAGAAAAGCAGCGTTCTGGCTCTGATGTAGTCATGGGAACTCTCAAGAGAGAATTTTTATCAGTTTCGTAATTTCACTAAGAACATCATCTAGATTATTTTCGATTATAAATTACAGCAGCTCAATTAATGTGCAGTATTCATGGATATCAGACCTACAATAGAATACTTTTAGTTCAGTTTGAAGCTTTTCTTTGTCAGTCAATGGATATGTTTCAGTGGTCAGTACTATTTCTTCTACAGGATGTTCATTCCTAAAACTAGCAAAGCACTTCTTGTTAAACAATTTAGCAGCTGCTAAGTGTTTAGTGGAAGAATATTAGTACATTATATCAGTACATAGTATAAAGTCACATATTTCCTTAGCTTCTGTCATCAGTGTCTTTGAAAAATTCTCACAGTGAGTTTCTTAATTCTAAAATAGCAGTTTTGAAATTTGTTATATATTTATTAACTTTAAACACACTAATTTCTCTGGATTGCATTTAGTTGTATATTATTTCAACATGAGGCATAATCTGATAAAAAAGCTCTAATCATCACTTGAAATTATCATCATTTAGATATTTTAAAATTCCTGTTGCTTTTGCAATAGTTTGATCTGCATTTGATGTTGATTGAATTTCAGCAAGGTCATTTTTTTAAGGTTGCAAATTTTCATGAACTCTGTTTATGGTCCGTATGATGAAGTTCCACCTTGTGGAGGAATACTACACGCGCGGAGTAAAAAGAAATCAGGTTTCCAACAACACGCAGAATTTCGGCACTGCAAGAGCGACAGCAAAGAATTTGTCTCCCTTACAAATTCTTTGGCGACAGCGCTCTTCTCTCTCCCTTGGCCGTCACCATCGAGATTCACATTCTGGGAAATGGCTACTGACATTAAGCTTAAAGATTGTGTATTGTAAAAGTGAAAAGAAAGAATTAAAGACTAAAAGGGCTCACTATATTAAATATTAAAAATAATAATATACAACTAAATGTGTAGTGGAATAGGGGGTGCTGCAGTTCCACAGTGCTTATTACGAGCCGTCACTGGTATGGATTGATCTACAAATGACACAGTCCAGAAATAGTTATTATTATTTTTAGAATAGACGGGGTAAGTATCCAAATTAAAAAGAGGTATTGAGGGCTATTGCTACTTTAAATTATAATTTATAGTTACATATTTTTTATCATTCATATTTATTTCCATATTTCTATTTTAAAAAAGTCTTGAAAGTTCAACATGACGCCTTTGCGCAGAAGACAGGAAGATTACTCAAGTTTTGAATAAGTGAAATGCAATTAAATCTAATTCTGTATATCAGATTCTGAGATGGAATGATCACATTGACATTAAATCACTTTGAAAGTTCGTACAGCCTAGCATTTCTAGTAGGCTCGAAAGAATTTCTCTATTCTAAATAATAATAAAGATGTTCAGCAATAAGTGTACAAAGATGTTCAGCAATAAGTGTATAACTTTTCTAACAGAAGCAATTTTTATCGATATTGACTGTTTTTAACTTTCTGAATGTTTACTATGCTATTAAGAAATGTATCAGTACTTATAAATAATTTATATAGTATGACATTAAATTATATATATCTCCATTTGAATTTTACTACATGTCCAATTAAATTGACCTATTTCGTAAATGTCATAAAAATGTAATTATTTTTAAAATTACGATAGTTGAAAATTCAAACGTAGACTAGGTTTATTTAATTTTCTTTCAATATTTTCTGATTTGCAGGATTTCTTCCTCTTCCCTCTATTCCTGTCTATGTTGCTTCAAAGCATGCTGTTGTAGGCTTAACCAGAAGCTATGGCGTAAGTACCATTTGTAAAATAAAATAAGAGACCAATGATTTTTGATTTTCTCCTTTTGCAGTTTTTGCTGCAATATTAAATGTCTGTTATAAATTTTGTTATATTAGGCCTCTAGAAATATTTTATTCATAGCATATATGAAACTGACTAACAATGTAGTGCGTGGGCAAATAAGTGTCTATAATATCACCTAAAATCAATGTAAAAGAGGACTGGCTTTCCATATGTGAATTTTTCCTAGTCGTTTGCCTTCCTAGAAATGGAGAGTTTGCCTAGTTAAGAAGACGGAACTTAACAGCAGTATGTGTCAGAATCTGGTAGCGGGAAAATAAGAGCGTGCTCTGGCTATGCATTATCCTACTGACAAAGTACTACTCGCGTTTGTCGAAATCTGATCACCATGGGAATAGGGAACTACTGAAACCAATGTATATATTAAAAAAAAAAGAAAGAAAGAATTGTATAAGATTTTAGAATACTTTGTGCTTAAGCATTTACGCTTGTATATTTCCGAATCCTTAAAACTACTGTTTAATTTATACATCGTATATGAGTAAGTATGCAAACAATTACATATACTACATATTATGGGTGAATATTCTTAATTTCTAAATAAAATGTCGATTTCGAATTTTTTATTTTATATATTACTCTTATATACTCTTACGTCGCCCAAACAGGATAGTGGTTAGTGACTCTACCGTACCGAAGGGCCCGAGCTCGAACGCCGGAGAAGCCATGGATGTTGTGTATTGTCTTTGAGGCGTGGAGCACTCTAAACCAAAGAGGTTCTTTGCTCTAAACATATGGCGAGCCGAAAGTTCTGTTGTGTGGATTGCTGGTAGAAGAAGAGGGGTGGGAGAACCTCACTTTTTGAACCTCACACCCACCTCCCGGAACCCCACTTGGAAACACAAACGGAACCTAAAAATTGGGATGGAACTGGGCAAACTCATACTGTCACCTATATGGTGCTCAAGGTTCTTGTCAAGACTGGTGTAATCTTGTACTCCTTGCCACGATGGATTTCGTGGGTTGTTCTGCTTTCAGACTAGCGAGATAAGTCACAACAACAACAACATATACACTTATGCAAATACGTTAATGAAATTCATTAACGAAAACATATAATGTTAATGAGAAGTTTAGACTTACATATACGAATAATGATGTCGAATTTTAATGAATTATCGAATATTGATATCGATTATTTGATGGATTTACACGCTTTACACATATGCTTTGTATTTGGAAAGACATGCATATCTAGGAGCATTTTGAAAAATATTTCTATATTTGATTTTAAACTGCGTCATAAAATTTAAATATTTAAAAAGTTATTCCAGAAAAGATATGTTTTGATAATTTACATAATATTTACTTCAAATAATTTTTCTACTTCTTTTAGTTAACTTATCATTTAAAGAGAGATGGAGTGATTTTCATGGCACTTTGTCCCTCTTACATCAATACTGATCTGCTGCATGTTTTCAATCATGAATCATTAATCGAAGGGACAGATGTTACTAACAGACCAGACACTATGAGGTAAGCTGGATTTCAGTTATTTCAATGCATTTGCAAATAACTAAGAAAAGAAAATTCAGTTGCGTCTTTATTTCGACTTATCCATTTGAGAAGGTAGGGAATAATTTTCCACATCATGGCTTATAGAATACGATCTTGCAGAATTTGGACCTAAATGATCTTCTCAACTGTCGAGAAGTGCAACAACAGAAGAATTTGGGATTTAATGGCAAAGATATCAAAGATATCAAAATAAAAGAGTAGAAGATAACTGTAGTAGCATCCAAGATATCCAAAAAAAAATGTTTTAATAGAAAAAGGAACAAGTTTCAGTAATTTGTGTTACAGCATACGCTCTAGATGACAGAAAACTTGGAAACACAAACGTATAGTGGTATATTTAAATAATCAAAGGTAAACTGAAAAGATGCACAGTAATGTTTTTTACACTGATTTGAGAATGGAATCAAAAGACCCTTGAGTAGCGATACGCATTTTCTTAAACAGGGTAATAACAAAAAATGGAAGACTTATCTCCCCTTAGGCAGATAGCCCTCGAGGCTTTGCCGTAATTGAATAACCTAACCTAACCTCACCTTCCTTACATATTGGTTGCCAGTTAACCCTCTCTTACAGCTCTGAAATATTTTGATTCTAGCTATGTCGCATAATTGTAGTCACTTTTTTTTTAATTCAAAAAATTTGAAATCCTACACGACCAGAGTTAAGAGAGATAATAATAAGTTGTAAAATATTATTATAAAGTTTCATAAATTAGTACTTAATAAAATATTCACACATAAATACAGAAGAAAAGTGCTCAGATATTTACATATATGAAAGATATAAAAAATAAAAAAAAAATTATTAACTTTAATTTGGTAATAGCACCTTTTATTCCCTACTTTTATTTGGCTATCTCTCCTTTCTGTCCTAAAAGCAGAAATCGTTTATAATCTTGTGTAAGGTTTAACGTCTTTCACTGCTGTAAACTATGATCAAACCTTTGACAGACGCAAAGCGGTTTATCGCTAAGTCTAAAAGTAAGTACAGAAATTTGATCCTTTTACAAGATTCTTTTATTTTAAACTCAGATACATGAACACAAGGCACACTTGATGCTTATAAATCCGCTAGCATTCATGATCAGAACTCAAAGTAGAAATTCAAATGTAAAGTTAAATTTAAATACTAATAACCAAGGGCCACACAGAGTAATTTAATTGTGAAGTTGGCTCTGAGCTTCCCTGGAGTGAATTTTAATTATCGGCAAATATAATGCAACATCAAAGACTAGACTTTTATCTAGAATAGCAAACTTAGCAATATAGCTTTCAAGAGGAAGAACACTTTACAATCCTTTACAATCTCAAACTCTCATTAAAATGCACTCGAACTAATTTGCATTCTTGCAGATTTTCACCATATATTCTGAGTATTGCGTATTTATTTTCCTACTTCGCCTCTGCTCTTGCCAACGCACATCGCTTGCTTCTGCTGTCCATCGTCCATTGTCTGAAGAAATGTAAGCTATACCAAATTGGGAGGTACATAATTCATCCATATGGATGATGCTGAAGGACAATTTATCGCAAGACTTAATACTCCAGAAATAACTTATGTGATGTATCTTCCACCACATCTGCTGATTTTTTTCTTCTCCGTTACGCATCATTTAAATTACGCAGTAATCCATTATTCCCAAATCCTTTTACGCTACACATTGGGTGTCTCAGTACCACGTTTTATAACTTCTAAGAGGGGTAGGGTGCATCCCCAACGACTCGAAATCATATAGTAATGCTTTTCTGACGGGGTAGCTAACGCTGCCCAAAAGTTCTGAAAGTTCTTGCAGGAAATTGTCATTTCCCACAGGATGAATAATTATATAAACGCGGAGTTATCTGATATGCATTTGGCATATGGGGCTGCAGATTATAGTAGGCCAGCCGCAAAGCGCTTGTACACGGAATCCTGTGGTGCTACCGTGGTGTAACAGTAGTACAGTTGGCACGTATTTGAGAGGTCCAGGTTCGAGTCCCAGCGAGGGCTTTGCTCATTTTACGTGTCTCCTGCTTGAAAATAACCCAATTTCTCTTCAGTGGTGCCCGAACTAAAAGTTGGTGGATGATGACTCTTAACCACCAGGATTAGCGAATTGGGTCCCCTAATCCCCAGTAGCCCTTTAAAAGGTAGAGTATATAAAGCATTTTCTGCCTTCTTTCTGCATACGTTCATGGTGTAACTTTAGTACACTCGGTGCGTATTCAAGAGGTGTAGGTTCACGTCCCGACGAGGGCCTTGCTCTTTTTACCCGTCTCCAGCATCAAAATAACCTAATGACGCTACACACTTTTTTATGCCTTTTTAGATTAATAATTATTACACTTGTATTTTACCTTAGGATATTGGATTCTAATCGAATGAGCAAAACATAAAAGATGCCTTGTACCATTTCTCCCCAAGCTTGATAACGAGACGGTATTTAGAGAAATTGAAGTAGTAAACAATACAGCTGAAGTACGTTTCATTGTCGGGATTGCATAGAATTTACACAGTAATAAACTAACATCATCTGAAGGACGGATTAATGTTGCTATAGAATTTTAGATTATAAAATAAAATAAAATAACGATTTTATAAATAACAGTTGTGGAAAGAGCTAATTGTTATTTGAAAAAAAAAATATATGTAATTTAACAATGTAAACTTGTTTAAAAAAGACATTTGTCATATTAAATAAAACGCATATGAATTTTAGATGTTGAAGACTGAAAATATTAATATTCTCAGTTTTCGTTTTTAGCCCTGATTATGTAGCACAAGGTGTACTGAAACTCCTGAAGGACAAAATCAATGGATCAACTCTTGTTGTCACAAACGAAGGTTATAACTATGTGGGTTTTCCTGAGGAACTAAAACATGCTTCCTTGGAGTAAATATCTTACTGCTACCAAAGAAAAAACAATAATTGCATGCATCTTGTTGACAAGGTAAAACATGTTCTTTTAAATGATGATTTAAAGCGATGTCTAAAATAACGTATAACCTCTGTTTATAGTTAGTATGTAAATAAAAATCAATTCCCAAACTGGTTTTGAGTTTTATTTATTCTGTACAGTCTGCGAGTTCTAAAGTACTGCTTTCTAAACAAATATTAAATACCCAATTCCATAATCATTGATGCGTAACTCTTCCATTTTCTTTCAGCAGTCCATCAGATCTCGTAGACTTGAGTTGCAGAAACGAAGGAGAATTAGAAGATTGTGTGAGGAATTATCCTCAAGTTTTAAGTATGACAAAGTCTAGAGAAGGTTGTAAAGAACCCTTTATTAACTCAATATAATCGCATAGGGCTCCGACTCGTGCTTACAGAAGCCAACTCTTTTGGCTTAACTCTCAAAAAGGTAACGGTGAAAATTAAAATTAAATGTAGTAAGTTTAGCCTAAAGGCTCCCAGGATAATTTAAAGCGCAGGTTGTTTCTGACTCGTAAAGTCAGCGTAAACAAGCTTAATGGCTAAAAGCGCTCGACGCCGCAGAAATCGAATCCCTATTAACTCGTTTCCTTCAAGCAGGCACAACACACTCTAAAAATATTAGACTTAGACTCTATAATTGACCGAGCTATTGCGAAGAGCAATGTTGCCGGTTCCAGAATTAAAGCCCAAGGGCACTTGATATAAAGAAATCCGGACGTGGAGAAAATCTCAGATGAGAAAACGGAGAAAAGGGGAAGATGAGAAGTACCAAAAAGAGCAAGACAATCCAATCGAACAAGTTCGCAAAACGTGACGAGCGATCATAGCTTTAAAGGAGGACCCAAGACAATGCAAATCAATAACAACAATATGAGAAGATACACTACAATAGTTCCAATGACAAATTCAAATACAACTAAACACCTCAACCAATAGTGCTAAATACAACACAATACAATACAACTATACAACACAATTTTAATGCAACTATTCAACGCAATACACTACAGCAACTCAACAACAATCTAACCAACCTATTTACAACACTACTATATCATCACATTGCGAAAAATCTCACAGCATTAGTTTTATAATTCACCAAGAATAATATTCACTAGCGGGCAAGCCCGCCAGCTGAAGCACACTAGTATAAGAGATGTGATGCCTTTGTGGAGGACATTTTAAGAGGAACTGCCTTAATTTCGACGGTATTTGAAAGTTGGACTGAACTACCAGTGTTCAGCGATTTTACACGGACTGTGCCCGGTTTATTCACTTACGGATACATGTAACACATGCGAAAAATCACGAAAACACCCATGCATCCACCCCGTTCGAAGGGATTCGGAAGTTGGACTGAACTACCAGTGTTCAACGGATTTGCTCGGGCTGCGCCCACATTTTCACGTATGCTACCAGAATATACTGCATACACGATACATATGCCTAAAGTCAGAAACCACCCATGCAGCCAGCCCTTTCGCGGGTATTCGAAAGTTAGAACGAACTACCAGTGTTCAGCGCGCTGCACCCGCTTTATTTCACCTTATGTCATCCAGAAATCAGCTGGCATACACTATACACCTGCTGGAAAATTCATTCGTTTTTAAAACATTTCCCATTTTGCAGCCAGCCCGCTCACCGGGATTTGAAAGTTGGTCCGAACTACCAGTGTTCAGGGGCTTAGCGCGGGCTGCGCCCGCTTTGTTCACATATGCATTCAGAAGATACTGCTTACACGATATACATGCGGAAAATTCCGAAAACATCCATGGAGCCAGCCCGTACGATTGGATTTAAAATTTGGTCCGAACTACCAGTGTTCTCCGGTAGCTTTATTCACGTATGCATCCACAAGATTCTTCATAAACGTTAGAGATGCGGAAAATCATGAAAACAGGCATGCAGGCAGCCCATTCCCTGGTATTCGAAAGTTTGACCAAACCACCAGTGCTCAGCGGTTTTGTGCGGGCTGCGTCTGCCTTATTCATATATGCATCGAAAACATACTGCGTACACATTACACATGCGAAAAATCACGAGAACACCCTTGGTGCAGGCCTGTTCGTTTGGATTCGAAAATTGCCCAGAACTAACAGTGTCCAGCGGTTTTGCGCGGGCTGCGCCCGCTTTATTCACTTGTGCATCCAAGAGATACTGCATACACAATACACAGGCGTAAAATCACGAAAACACCCACCGTTCGGCGGGATTCGAAAGTTGGACTGAACTACCAGTGTTCATCGATTTTACCTGGGCTGCGCCCGCTTTATTAACATATGCATACATAAGATACTGCATACACGTTACACATGCAGAAAATCACGAAAATACTCATACAGCTAGCCCGTTCGCCGGGATTCGAAAGTTGACGGAACTACCAGCGTTCAGTGTCTTTACCGCTCAGCCGCTAATAGGCCGTTGTAGAATGTGAAATCGGGAAAATTTTTGCATTTATTATTCAAACAGTAGATTTGTTATTAAAATTCCTTTATTTTATAAACTTCAATATAATCACACACAAAATTGTATCAATATATATATTAATGCAATTAATAATTCATAATTATTTATAATAAGAAAAGTTTCCATATACCATCTCCAAGGAACACATATTCAATTTAAAACCCTGAACGAAAAGAAATTTTTTAGTGAAAATTTAAATTAGTAGTTTAAATAGTAAATTCAACTTCTTGTTTAAATGTGTGCATAGAAATTCTTTAATCTAAAAAAAAAAAATCTAGTAATTTCAACTTCTTGTTTAAATATCTGCGTAGAAAATGTTTAATCTAAAAAAAAGATCAAAAGTAAATTTTAAATATTGAAAAAAAAGTAGCTATCGTCATTTATTGCAGTTTAATCCACTTATCAATGGAATAAACCAATCTGCAATCAATTAACAACAACTAAATGAATAGAGTGTTGCTATTTATTGTTTTATTTTATCACACACAAAATTGAAAATGTATAAACGTGAATGCAATTTTTAAAGTAACAGTAACAGAAATATATAACACGAATGAATAGATCTTTAAACAAATAGGAAGCAAAACATTAAATATATCGCAAAAATCTAAAAATTGATACTTGTTTCAAGTCGGTAAGTTAATTAGAAGCAAAGTTATTAATTTTTAAATAATTCTCCACTTGTAAATTCATGAACTTTGATCTTTTCCTCAACAAAACACTCCAGCGTATGCAGTTTCCCCCTTGCCGCCTTCGAAAAAGCAATTTTATCTCAGCTAATTCCGAGACTGTTGCCACTCCGAAAAATGAAATAACGTTTTCGCAGTTTTTAATTAATAACTCTGCCAATTATTGTCGTACGAAGATGAAACCGGTATTGATAGATTCGTAGAAGTTTTGGGAACCCGGGGATATGCGTTTCGAATTCCAACTCGGCACCGTTCCCGAGATATTCGAGAAAAACGAATTTGGCACTCAGCCAAATCCCTAAAATAGGGAAAACACGTGAAAAAAAGTGCAAAACGTAGGGAAACTGAAGCCCGCTGTTATTGGCCTATATTTGAAAGTTGGACAGCCCGTTCTCCGGGATCGAAAGTTGGAGCGAACTACCAGTGTTCAGCGGTTTTGAAAGCGCAACGCCCGTTTTATTCACATATGCATCCTGAAGACACAGCATACACGATACACATGCGGAAAATCACGAAAGCACAACATGCAATCATCCCGCTCACCGGGATTCGAAAGTTGGACCGAACTTCCAGTGTTCAGCGGATTTGGGTGGGCTGCGATCGCTTTATTCACGTATGCGACCAGAATACACTGCATACACGATACACATGCCTAAAATTACGAAACTACCCATGCAGCCAGCCCATTCGCGGGTATACGAAAGTTACCGAACTACCAGTGTTCGGAGGGCTGCGCCCGCTTTATTCACCTATGAATCCAGAAAATACTGCATACACTATACACATGCGGAAAATCACCCAAACATTCTTGCAGCCAGCCCGTTCACCGGGATTTGAAAGTTGGACCGAACTACCGGTGTACATCGATTTTACCTGGGCTGATCCCGCTTTATTAAGGTATGCAGGCATAAGGTACTGCATACACGTTACAAAGTTGAGCGGTTTTGAGCGGGCTGCGCCCGCTTTGTTCACCTATGCATTCAGAAGATACTGCTTACACGATACACATGCGGAAAATCACGAAAACACCCATGGAGACAACCCGTACGATTGAATTCGAAATTTGGTCCGAACTACCAGTGTTCTCCGCCCGCTTTATTCACGTATGCATCCACAAGATACTTCATAAACGTTACACATGCGGAAAATCACAAAAACATTCATGCGGGCAGCCCATTCGCTGGTACTCGAAAGTTTGACCAAACTACCAGTACTCAACGGTTTAGTGCGGGCTGCGTCTGCCTTATTCATAAATGAATCCATAAGAAACTGCATACACATTACACATGCGTAAAATCACGTGAACATCCATGGTGCCGGCCTGTTCGTCTGGATTCGAAAGTTGGACCGAACTACCAGTGTTCAGCGGTTTTGGGCCGCAGAGCCCGCTTTATTCGGTTATGGATACAGGAGATACCGCATACACAATACACATGCGTAAAATCACGAAAACATCCATGGAGGCATCCCGTTCGGCGGGATTCCAAAGTTGGACTGAACTACCAGTGTACATCGATTTTAACTGGGCTGCGCCCGCTTTATTAACATATGCATGCATAAGATACTGCATACATGCAGAAAATCACGAAAATACTCATGCAGCCAGCCCGTTTGCCGGTATTCGAAAGTTGAACCAAACTACCAGTGTTCAGCTGTTTTGCTTGGGCTGCCCCCGCTTTATTGACCATCGGCATCTTCGTGCGATTTTAATTAGTCGAGCTATTAATTAAAAACTCATTTTCCCCTACGTTTCCCTACGTTTTGCACTTTCTTTCACGGGGTTTTCCTGTTTTAGGAATTTGGCTGAGTCCCAAATTCTGTTTTCTCGAATATCTACGGAACGGCGCCGAGTTACAATTCGAAACGCATATTCCCGGATTCCAAAAAAAATCAACGAATCCGTCGATACTGGTCTCATCTTCGTACGACTTTAATCGGCATAGTTATTAATTAAAAACT